AATGTGCGAGCAGGAGCAAATGAAGCCTCTCAGGCTGCACAGTTATCTTCCTAGGAGAAAGCTCTGTCAAGGTTTGTAAAAAGCCCTTTAGCTATTCATTGTTTGTTTCCTTTGTACACAGGAAAGTGAAAAAACTAAAAGAATGATGTTTCAGCCAGCTAACAGCCTTCCTCAGGTATGAGCTCCTCAAGATAAGAGATTTGAGGAATCCAGCAGCATGACTGGCAGAGTTAAGGTGTGTGGGAGGAAAGCAAAGCGCTTGGGCTGTTTATTTAAACTCTTCTATTCTGCTGACCATATGCCTTATTTCTAGATCTTGTGGATAGACAACAGATCCAAAATGTTTAAATCTGTCAATATTCCGTCTGTTAAATCATGTGTATGTTTCACAGTGTTTACACTGAAGTACTAAAGTCTTGGTCATAGGTAATGGTAAATAATAATAATAAAAATAACATGCTAATAATACCTCATACTGCAGTACCGTTTCATAATCTGTTCAATGTGACATCTCTATTTTATAGAGCACAGGTAACCATGTAATAAATTTGCAACCTCAGTGTGAATGCTGGCCATGCTTTGAGACAAATACAACATGTAGCCATTAAAGCTGTAATCCTGTTGTCTTATTCAATGATTTTTCTGGGAGCTTGGCTGCTCCAAAGCCTGTGAGATAATGTGATTATCTGATTAACTGTTTCTTTTGAAGCACAGCATTTTCATTAAATCAGGAAAGAAGAAGTGCTAATAGTGCTAATACAAGGGCTCTCTGAGGGATAGTTCTCTGTGTATACTGGGTGCTGTTTGCAAGGCATCATTCTTCTGGAATCTAATTCATGTTTGGTAAAGCAGTGTGGGATTTCGTAGCTCTCAAAGGCAGCATTTTCATACAACCCAAGGCAGTTGTTTTTCTGTAAAGCAGATATTGGAAATCAGCAAATTAACTACAGAGTGAATTACATGGTTATAGAAGTGCCTATAAAATAATATCATTAATTTCTGATTTTCTTTTTGCTTATTACCTGTAGTTGTGATTACCAGCAGTACTAGAAGATGATGATAACGCTATATATGTAGAAGCTCAAACAGAAAGTCTGTCTAAGATACTTGTTTCTTTTTTTGCTAAATTTCACAATGTATAGGCAGAACAGAACCAAGAGCAGATTTAGAGTTTGCTTGAACAAAGCTTGCAAAGCTGCTTCCCACCCCTTCCAGCAGCAGGTGAGCCACATCTCTGCATGGCCAGTGCTTTCTTCGCGTGTGTGAGGGACGTCTTCCTCCTTAGAGCTCTGCCCAGCAGAATGATCCGGGCTGGCAGCCAGCTCTGAGACAGGAGGTTGTTGCAGTCCTCAAAACAGAAATCAAACACAATTAAAGTTGATTTTCTTTGGTTCCTGTAAATAAAGATGCTATTTTCAGCATAGTTTATATGGGCTATTTTGTCTGGTAATCATGTATGTTATTTTAGATAACACTTTAAAGTAAAGGTTTATATATGAAATAATAATAAGATGTGAATGTTATATTCTGCTATCTGTGTGACTTACTGTTTGCCCTTAACTTGGTAGTGTGCTAATCTTTTCTTTTCTTTGAAGAAATGAAAATCTGGATATTAGAAACCAACTGGCAAACTGTGAGATGAAGGGACAGCCTTTACATTTTCTAAATGTGAATTCATATATGTTTGCTTTCTATCAAATTCCTCAAAATAGTGAGAGTCTTGGCACAGGGCAGTGAGTGCAGGTTTATCACTGAATTAATCACACATATCTGTGCTACAGGTATGGCTTTTTCTCAGTTCCTCCACCAAAGACCTTTTACAATAAATAATGAAAAAATTACATGTTTTTGAGATTTCATCTTGGTGCAGTAGTAGGAATGTGAGAGAATATTGATGGCTTCCTTTTTTCCTGGAAGAGCAGAGTCAACAAGAGCCTCCTGTTTCTTAAAGGCTGTAAGGTTATTAACTGTACCGTTAAACTGTAATAACCATTAAACAGTTATGAACTGTACCAGTTTTGGAGAATACCTGTTTAAATAAAATTTATCCAGGGTATATTACACTTTTATTAAAAATAGAAGTTTTCCAGTTTGTCATCCTAAGTAAAACACCTTTTGGGTGTGTGCTGGCAGGACTGAATGACCTGAGCAGTCTTAAGGCTAACTTAGATTCTGATTAATACTCTAAGACTAGTAACTATTGAAAAAAGCCCTCATAAACCTCATGTCATGTTGGTAAGCAGGAGAAAAACTGAAGCCCTACATATGGCTTAATATATTTTCAAACAAGAATCCATGGGTCAGCAAATTCACAATACAGTGCAGGTTATAAGAACAACATATTTTTCCTACATGTAATAGGTTACATGTATAAAGGGAAAATCCTTTCTGTGTTTAAACAGTTGGAAAAGAGATTAATTGCAGTTTCATAATAGGTCTGCCAAAGAAGAAATGGTAGCTACAGATTTGGCCTTCATTCCCCCCCAGAAAATTTCAAAGATCTGCTGGGTCCAGTATCGTGGCAGGAGAATGAGATCACAGTTAATACAAACAGGTGTTTGAACATACAGATTAACCAATGACTGCATGTTTATATGTGTAATGTGCATTGCTGAACAATAAAACATGTGAAATGTCTTTTTGCACATCAATCTGAAATTTTTGATCTCAGTACATCTGCTTTCAATTCATGCACAGATCGTATAATATAATTTAATAATCATTAGCTAAGTTGCTCATAACTTCTGATAGCAAAACAGAGCAGTTATGAAAGCAACTGTGCTAACACAGGAGACAGCTTGCTGTTTGTGCTAATACTCTCAATACCAAGTAGATATTTTGCCTTTTTGTTTTTCAGTTGCTCCAAGTTATTGAGAAACAAACATGACAAGAACAAGTAGCAAGAAATGTTTGTTGTTTAAATGTCTGTACACATAAAGTGCCAAGAAACATGCTACTTATTAGTGAGAGGAAAAACATACTGTGATGTATTAATCTGGAGGAATCAGAAGAGATACTCTAAAACTGAAAATGCCAAAAATTGGAATAATTTACCAAAAAGAAAAAGAACAAAAATCCTCTATTGGAAAGAAGTCAAGCAGACACTGCAATTGGTTCTATATTATTATTAGTTCATTTCTGTTTGGTTTATGGGAAAATAAAACTATCAACATCAACTTTCTGACCTGTGGGCCTTTTGGCTTGAGGAGTAAGGAATTCTCCTCTCAGGGTTTCAGCTGTGCTGATCTACAGACATAATTAGGAGGTAATTTATAGTTAGAGGTAACTTTTTTATTCTATAAATAGGAAAATGTAGAAAATCTGGACGTGCAACTCCTTCAAGTGTTAAATACAGACAATAAACTCTATTATAGACAAAAAGCTAAACACCAGCTGAATTTCTCTGATTTTATTGAGCTATCAAATGAGATGATCTAGGGGAAATAAAGATAGGCAGTAGTCATAGGCAGAGGAGGATGCACATCTTTTGAAGCTGTATTTGTAGCACAGGACCAGGAAGTAAGAGAAGTGTTTTTTGAGAAATACTATCCCACTGTCTTTTCCTGTCTGTTAGTGAAGGTTTGTGGAAGTATGTTTTAGTGTGTAGTTGTGTGTGTTCTCGTGACAGCACTTAATAGACTGGTAGCATTTAGACTAAGGAGACTTTTGTAGAAGCTTCTATTAGGATATGTAAAAGTAGGGAGACGGTATTTGAATGGCTTTTTTTGTTTTGGAAAAGTGCTTGCTATGGTGGGAAAGTTGTGGTGGAGATGAGAAATTGCAGTGTTCAAATTCGTTGTCACATATCCAGGTCCAGTTGTTCCCTTTTCATTTCAAGTGTCTGAAAAGAGATTCTTGAAAAGATAATTTTCAGACTACTTCTTCCTGTTTAGGGTGGAATTTGTAACAGACTCCCTGTAAATTTTCAAATCTGAGTGTTTGGGTTGTACCTTTAAAATGGTGAGACTTGTGCATTGTGGAATTGGCTTGTGTCCAAGTCTTGTGCTGACTGTCCGCACCTGGATGAGCATTTCTCCTGGCTGAATGAACAAACACAGCACCCTAACAGGGCTTCAGGTGCTGAACTCTGCTCATAGAAACTTAATCATGAGACTTAAACATGGAACTTAATCTCGTTTTATACTGGCCTAGCAAATGTCAGTGTCTAGAGATCATTAAAAAGCATCAGAATTGTAACATCTTCAGAAAATTACAGTAAAACAGATAGTTGTGCCAGGACATTTTATGCAGTTGTTGCTGGATTGTATGATGATTTGTAAGTTAGTGTTCATTATGTAAATAATCACATTTTTGCTATTTATTTTATTTATTTATTACTTTTAATGTTTCTTGCAACAGCATTAAAACAGGCCTAGATTTAAGTCAAGGAAATAGTTTGTGTACTTGTCTATACCATGCTATGTAGCCTGTGGTGCACAGTGCAACTCTTCTGAATTTACAGCCCACTGGGCCAAGCTAAGCAGTTCTTTCCTGTGGCAGAACAGCAAATGGAAAACATCCTTAATCTGTAATTCTGCAAGTATTAATAGAATGGGATGATCACTATAGAACCAGCAGACTGTACAGGTGTTCTGTATATCACAGAAATTAAACCAAAACCTTAAAGGATATTTTATTCTATGGTATAAATAAAGGAACAATATAGAGCTTAGATAAAATGATAATCAATTCAAAATTAATCTTTAAATCCTACCCAAACTCCATCCTGCATCTTACATGTAATTTTGAATACCTCAGGCATCTGCAGTGCAGTGTATTATTAACATATACAGGTGGGCTTTGCCTTACGAAAAGTAACATTAAAGAATTCAGTGCTTTAAGCAAACACTGGACACCCCTCTGTTTCTTTTCCCCTCTGAGGGCTTTAGAAACATTGGTTAACTGGCTTTCATCCATGTTTGTGATGTACTTATAAATATTTCCCACTTATAACTGTGGAAAGCAGCATGACAAGCTAATGGAATGAGTGAGCAGCAGGGATGGAAATTGAATGCAGCCCTCGGACCTGGTTGCAGGATTATCATGAAGCAGTGTTAAATGAAAGCATTGTGAGACATCTCCGCTTTGGGGTACCAAAACCTTCCATTATGGAAGAGGGGATTTGGCTCTGCCAGCATGCTGCAAATGGTGCTTGGGCTTAGCACCTCCAGTCCTGGAGCAGTGTCAGGAATCACACAGAGCTTGTTTCACCTGCAGGGCAGCTCTGTTCAGTGAGGGGGAATGGGGCAATGCTCAGTCCACTGCTGCAAACTCACCAGTGCCTTACAGCTCCAGAGCAGCTGCAGTGGCCTGGGCAGTGCAGATACTACAGCCATAGCCTCTGCCTGAGCCAGGTTATCTCAGGGATGATAAAAACAGCATGGATTTTCTCCAGAGAATGAACCACATAAAGGCTCCCCAGAAGTAATATCCCATACCATTCAAGACCGCAGAAGGCCTTAATCTTTATTTTTTATCTTTTAAATACCACCAAAAAAAATTCTGCACTCTTAATTGGAGTGAGCTGGCTGGACAAGGAGTTCATAACAATGGCCTTTGGAGGTGGCATTCTCACTTTGTAGCCCTTGCATCATGTTCAGAGCTGTTCTCAGTGTGTTGCATCATGCATCATTCCCGGTGCCATGGGGCTAGGAATCCCTGGGGCAGGGAGAGAGCCTGCACTGCACACGTGCTGGAGAGCTGGGAACACCCTGGAGATGTTCAGCCCCTCAGCTGAGAAAAGTGTTGCTCCAGCACACCCTTCATCTGCTGTCTAGATGATTATATTGTGAAAGGATATTTAATGAAATGGGAATATGCAATTTCTTCCTTTCACTGGTCCTAATTAGGGCATACTGTAAATATATATTTATAGCCACAGAACTCAACCTTTTACTCTGCTTGTGAGAAACCTGCAGAATTAACCTGATTCTGCATTCTTTTACTGCTTCCAAATAATGCACAATTTACAAATAAATTTACATTGGCTGCCTCACCTCTTCCCAGATGTCAGTACTATAATGCCCTTCTCATTTTGAGTCAAGTTTTCCTTTATTAATTCAGCAGTTTGCAATTAAATGATTAACTAATCAAATTCTTTCCTCCTGAGTACCTGTGCAAATGCATTGAAGACTGATTGATTTAACTGAGGTCACTCAGATATAAATTGAGCCTTATCATTATGAAGTATGAGAAACAAGGAAGAAGGGGCTGTCTGAGAAGGCAGTAGGAGGACTTGTGACTTTTAGCCTTGTGGAGGTTTTCTTGTAGTTCCAGTGGGGAGAAAAAAAATGGTTCTGGAACTAGAGATCCAAAAATTACATGGAAATTTGTATTACTACTTTACCTGCCAAAACTGAGGTTCAGGTTTTAAAATGTATGTGACAGCATTGGCTGTTTCCCCCTTTTTGTTTATGCTGTCTCATCATTTGGGAATAAAATGAGAATTCTTTTGATGGAATTGAAGGTGAGTAAACACCAATGGTGATGGTGGGGTTTGAGGGGTGAAGGGTGGCACTGCAGTCTTGTAGCTGGTTTGGTCAGAGAAGTTCTGTGTATAACTTTACTCACTGATTTAAGCAAAGGTGTTTCTGCAGCTCATATGAAAAGATAAAATTCTCACACAGATGTAAAGTGGGGAGAGATGGAGATGTTTTTTTATTTCTCACTCAGTTGTATTTTGCAATTGAATGGGTATTTTCTCAGGTTCCTGAGGAGCATTTAGGTGCTGCTCACTGCGAGAGGTGGTGGTACAGCCTGAATGGGGCAGTAAACTTTAATCATGCAGCGAGCAAAGCTCAGCTTTTCCTAATGTTTTGTCTACAACGATACAGCCTCTGGGAACAGAAGATTCACTGTTCACGGGGTAAAGCAGGTGCTGGGCTGGCTGCAGGGCATCAGCAGTGCTGGTACCTCCAAAGCAAGGCAGCTGGCTCCCTCTGCTGCCTTCAGCACGATCGGAGTCGTTTTAAGCAAGGAGAATTTGCCTCCTGCGGGTTCCAGCATCTTTGCACCTCCTGGTTTTAACATGGTCTCCTACCTCATGTGAGGTAACTACGGCACTGCACATTCCCCCTTAGCTTAAAATCTGTGCAGACCTTTACAAAGATTAATATATGTATTTATAACTGAGAATCAAACTGTAATATGGCAGCTGAGTGTAAGCATTTTAGGTAAGGCCTCCATAAAACCATAATTGTACCCATCTGTTTCCCTTAAGTACCCGGTAGAAAACAGTTAGCGCTTATATATCTCTTGATAGCTCTTTCTCAATCTGGTGTTATGGGGAAAGAGGGAAGTTAATTTCCCCCTTTATTTTCTTTCTAGAAAAAGATAGTGCTTCGATTCAAATTTGCGAGAAAAGCAAGCTGAAAGTGTTTGTCAAAGGAGGTTGATTTGTAGATGGAGACTGTCAAAGCAACAGTTTTTCTCAAGTCTCTCTAACCCTTAAGCACCAATTATGGGAAAGAAAGTTGTGGCCATATAAATAGATATTAACAATAAAAACTCCCACATAATATTTCTGAAGAATATGAGTGGTTTCATCAAAACTTTCGGATATGAGAAGTGCTTGGCAAATGGCTGTAAGCTGAATTCTCATTGAGATGCTGCACAAATGAGCCTTACCCTTATGGCTTGGCTGTTCTGTGATTATTTGATCAGATTATCCTCACTTGGGGTAAGCTGGTGACCACCTCAGTGGAAGAGGGGTGTGAGAGGCCAATTTCTGCTGTGTCAGGGCTGATCAACTGACTCTGAAACTGATATATTTTACATAGCAATATATATATAGCTTCCCAGGGAGGGTACGGCTAACCTGGCAATGCCCAGGGCAGGCTCTCCTCATCCCGAGTGTGTCCCGGGACAGGCTCTCCTCATCCCGAGTGTGTCCCGGGACAGGCTCTCCTCATCCCCAGTGTGTCCCGGGACAGGCTCTCCTCATCCCCAGTGTGTCCCGGGACAGGGCCTCCTCATCCCGAGTGTGTCCCGGGACAGGGCCTCCTCATCCCGGGTATGTCCCGGGAGAGGCTCTCCTCATCCTGAATGTGTCCCGGGACAGGCTCTCCTCATCCCCAGTGTGTCCCGGGAGAGGCTCTCCTCATCCCCAGTGTGTCCCGGGACAGGCTCTCCTCATCCCCAGTGTGTCCCGGGGCAGGCTCTCCTCATCCCGAGTGTGTCCCGGGAGAGGCTCTCCTCATCCCGAGTGTGTCCCGGGACAGGGCCTCCTCATCCCCAGTGTGTCCCGGGGCAGGCTGTCCTCATCCCGAGTGTGTCCCGGGACAGGGCCTCCTCATCCCGGGTGTGTCCCGGGGCAGGGCCTCCTCATCCCCAGTGCGTCCCGGGTAGGCTCTCCTGGTCCCGGCTGCCGCCTCCTCCCGTGCCGGTCCCGCGGCACCAGTAGATGGAGCTCCAGGATCCCGATTGCTGCAGGGACCGTGAAATGGGAGTGGAAGGGCCCGGGGACACCTTGCTGTGTTCCTGTGGAGCTGCCGCTTGCCCTTTGCTATGCCGATGAACTTGAGCTGGGAAATGGATGCGAGCGAGGCGCTTCTCCGGATCTGAGAAGTCAGGTTGGCTAAAAACAAAAACAACAACAACAACAAAAAAATTCGTCAAGCCTTTCATAGAATGATAGAACGTTTTGGTTTTTTTGGTTTGGGAGGGACCTTAAAGATCACGGAATTTCCATCCCCCTGCCAAGTGTAGGGATGCCTTCCACTATCCCAGGCTGCTCAAGGCCCCATCCAACCTGGACATAAACATGAGCGGACGGGGCATCCACAGCTTCTCTGGGCAACCTGTGCCGGTGCCTCTCCACCCTCAGAGGTAGAGAATTTCTTCCTGATATCCAATCTAAACCTACTCTAAGTTCAAATTCATTCCCCCTTGTCCTAAAGAATCCGTTTTTCTCCGTCTCTCTTGTAGCTCCCTTCAGGTATGAGTAGGCTGCAATTAGGGCACCCTGGAACTTCCTCTTCTCCAGGCTGAACAAACCCAACTCTCTCAGTGTTTCTTCCAGGAGAGGTTCTCCATCCCTCAGATAAATTTGGTGGCCTCCTCTGGACTTGCTCCAACAGGTCCTTGCTGTGCTGGGGCCCCCAGAGCTGGGTGCAGCACTGAAGGGGGGGTCTCAGCAGAGCAGAGGAGCAGAATCCCCTTCCTCACCCAAAGGGCTCTGGATACAGCTCAGAATAGAGTTGGGTTTCTGGGCTGAGAGCTCACTCTGCTGGGTCATGTCTGGTCTTTCCTCCACCATTTATTCCTGGGTGTCTCTCCCCAAACCATACTTCCCAAATTTCATCTGCTGCCAGTGACACTGCAGCTCTTAATACCAAATTATCACTGTCAGGGCAATTAAAGATACTGGCACTCAATAAGCCTATTCTGTATATTGTGTCTAAAAATTTCTGTGCATCCACATTTAGGCTCTTGCCAGAATCACACTACTGTATGATAAAATACATAATTTTCCATCTCGGAGAAGCTGTTTCCTCAGGTGTTGCTGGGGCAGGGTGGCTGGTGGCACTTTATCTGCTGTGTATTTCATGCCAGACCTAGTGAAAATAAAAATAACTCTCTTTAGGCCCAAAGGAGAGGAGCAGGTGTATTCACACATCACAGGATAAATATTTAGATAAATAGCAAGGATATCTGAAGCCCTATCTAAAGCTTTCCCATGGACTTTCTGTTAGTACACACTTGTGCTGGATTCTGTTCAAAGCACAGCTAAGTAGCACAGAACAGTCAGAGCTTTCTAAATTCCCCTTTCAGATAAAGAAGTTTAGATGTCACATGTCAAATGTAATCTGACCTCAGGGGTTTCAGCCCAGTCTTTAACAGGCATTTCTCACCCTTGAGAAAATGCCTGGCTTTTGAAACAATGCTTCCTTTCAAGAACTTCGGCTTAATATTGTGGCATGAAGGTCAAGATTGTCTTGTACTGACTGACAGGAGCACAGCAGCTTTCACAGTGGTTCCTTTCTTCATATGTGGCTTTTACTTGTGCTTAACATTTTGAACCAGAAAATGAAGAGAAAGTATAATTTTCTGTGTGAGGCTTTGATGTGTTCTGTCTTTTAGCCTCACTATTGTTGTCATATTGTCATAATACTGAATTCTTATTCTCCTATTAACTGATGCCCCTTATTTGACAGGACTGTTTACTTTTGTTGGTCTTAAGTTTCTGGCAAGGTACACAGACAATTTTGACTTGGACCTTTCAGTGGAAGGACACAGAGACAATTCAGTGAGTCTCCTCTGTGCAGGCTACCAATGGAATAAACAAAGAATGGCCCTGTACAAGTCAGGTCAGCTCAGCCCAGACAAAATGAAGGTAAGTTACAGTGCAGGCAGGCTGGGAGCAACCACCAGAAGGGCTGGAAAAGGTTATATCAAAATGGTTATGTTCTCAGATCTGAATAGAGGTTGTAAAAGGAACCTGCAAATTGTACATGTGCAATTGAGCCCCAGAGGCAGCTAGCCAGCAGACAGCTGTCTGGGGACCGTGTGGCAAATTCCCCTGGGAACAGCCCTGCCTGGGCTAGGTTGCGCGTCCTTGCCATCACCTGTATGAAGTCCTACTCTTGCTGTGGTGGCTGTCAGGTGGCTGTGTGAGCTGGCTCCTGGCCTCCTTTCCTGGGGTGGGACAATGTGCCAGGAATAATGCACTTGTTTGGCAGCTGTGGATTGGAACATGAATCTGCAGTGTGGGGGTCTTAGAGGAGCCTGTGTTGCTCTTGATTCACAAGCCACAGTGGTCAAACAAGCAGGTTTTTTTTTGATGTAGCTGACATGTTATGTGCGACCTCTTCTACTGGAAATGGCCTTTTCTCAGAGGTACCTGAGTCACTCACTGTCACCTCAGGCTACACTTGCTGTGATGTATTTTTTTCTCAGACTGAAACTGAAGTAATTTAGAAAGGGTGCCCAGAAGGACAAGAGACAGATAGCTTAAGTAGTAGAGCTCTTCCCAAACTCTCAGGGATAGCAAATGTTGAGGAATTGAAGGATACTTATTCAGTTGGTTTTTTTTTTCCTAAGTTTTGAAAAAAGTTAGAAGTCTTTTTCTAAGTTTTTCTTTTTGCCTGAAAGGCACTGCTTTTTATTAAATAAGCTTTTGCAAAAGCTCTCTTAGCTTTTGGTACTTGTGGTCACAAGCCAGGAACAGAATTGTAGGTGATGTGCCTGAGTCACTGTAACACTAAATGGGGACTCCTCCCTGAAGCTCACTCCATGCAAGGAAAAAATTAATACCCCTCAAAAAATGAGACCACAAGTGGTCAAATTTTAGTGGGAATGCCATGAAATAGTATGCAAGACAGGGAAAACCCCATTTTCTCACTAAATCACCATTAGAGCCACCTGTTTTCAAGTTTCTCCAGGGCTGACAAATACATCCCCGTGTCTTTACATCTAGGAATTTCATAATCTTTCTCCAGGAAAAAAATAATGTCAACTACATTGGCATACAAAGAATGCATAATAATCCACCTGGAGAAATGGATGCATCTGTTGTCTGAGTCCTAAAAATCTCAGTTTCTAACTGGGTGAATATCTGAGATCTAATAGTAAACTTTGGCAAGGTGGCTTATCTGTTTGAATTATACTGGTTTCAAAGTCCTGTGTAATATGATGATATCAAGGGTTGGGGAGAATGTCTTTAAGCCTGGCTTTTTAAGCTTCTCTTCTTTAGGACTAATTCTTTCTGAAGCAAACCTGGGAATCAATAGTGGGTTTGGTAGGAGATGCCAAGCTCTTAAAAACCCACCCTGAGGTAACTCAGGGAGATTGCAGCAAGCATCTTCAGATTCCAGTTTCATAATGTATAATGAGCAGAATACAAACACTTAAAAATAGAACCTTTTATTTATTTATTTTTATTCTTTTTTTCAACTGGAAAATCAAATATGTTTCAATCAGTTACTTCAGGCATTGGTACTTATGAAAGAAAAATGACATTATTTTTGGCATGGAAAGAATGTTGGAAGACTTAGAAAAGAAAATGGATAGCTACTGCATAAAAGTAGCTTTTAATATGCTGATCCCCAGAGGTGCTGCCCCTTGGGCTGGGAGCTGACTGCAGGCACAAGAATTGATGTGATGTTTGCTGCCTCTCTAGTGGTGATTAACTTTAGGAAAATAAATGTAATTAGTTGAAGTACCTTATGTGTCATGCTCCTAATGAATGCTATCATTTAAGAATAGTACTTACATTTATTAGAAACACCTCCTTAAGAGTATTGTTTTCTTGGGGTTTTTCCTAAAATAAACTTATCTGGGTCTTAATAATGCCAATGCCAAGGAGTAGAGTCTCTGTTACAGGCAGCCCATGCAGTAGCTCCTACTGTTCCACTTCTCCCACAGAATTTTGTGAGTGAACAGGGTGTACAAACACACAGCACCAGGCATGGATTCTCCAGCAGGATGTGTCCTGTGTGCAGGGACAGCCTTGTCCCTCCAGTCCTGGGTGAACCACGGGTGGATTTCCTGGATGGTTCTGAGTTTATTTACATGTCAAAAGTGATTTATGGGTCATGGAGTTTGCTTTAAATGAGTTAAAAAGTAGAGAGGTAATTAATAAATTGTAAGTGTCTAGATTTTTCTGGCTTACCAGCTGAATATTTTGGTATTCTCTCATATTTAACAGCCTGTCTGTTTTCATTATGAACTGAATTTGCAATAAAGTACAGGGTTTAATTTTGATAAAATTATTATTGGGTAATGTGCATTGCTAACTCTCTTTGTTTGCCTGTAATAATCCAGTTTATCCAGATATTGCAGAAAAGGTCATCTAAGAGTTACTTGACTGAAGTACAGTGTGCTGGCAATGTGAAATGCCACCTTTTTAAATCAAGGCATAAATAAGTCTTTTAACTTTACTGCTACTTTTTCTCCTCTTTCCCAATAATGTAGCTACGTTCTGATTATATGGCAGTACAAACATTCAGATTCCTTATTTTCTCCATAGTTGTGCAGACTGTGATCCTATAAAGCCCTCACATTCTTCACATAGAAGGTTTGTTTTGTTTTGTATTATTCATTTAGAGATGGAAATGATTGTTTGCAGTCAGTTTATTTTGATATTCTGGAACCAGTAAACAGTGTCGGGGCTAAGACACAAAGGTTAGCTGCTGAGTCTGGCTCTGTTGCATAGCTCTTCTGGGGTTAAGATATGTATTTAGTGTTCCAAATCTCTGATATTATTCATAATTCTAGAGGAAAAAAAAAGAGTCAGTTAATGAATAGCAACAATTTTTGAAAGATGTAACATTATGTCACTCAAAAGACACGCAGGGAGAAGGTAGGATTGCATCTGAGTGTTTTCCAGCATTGAAAATATGGCAGAAGCATTGTTCCTCAAAAGTAATGTGCTCTTCCTGAAATGTATTATTTAACAGAAACGTGGGGGTTGTGAGGATTTGGGTTGGTGTGGCGGTGATTTTAATTCACCATCTGGCTCCCTAGACCCTAATAGCCTTTCATTTATTTCATATTCACTAGGGCATAGAAAATGCTCAAGGTGTTTAAAATATTACATGGTTTAAAAAGAACTAGGTAAATGAAATTATAATTATTAAGTAGGGGAATTACAGTGGAAAGTTTTTGAGTGCTTTCCAGGAGGATGCACAAGCTCAGACTTGCCTGATCTATTTCCACCTATGTCCTTTCATGGTCTCTTTTTCCAAGCCATTTGGGAAGCTTCCTTATCTGCACATTGCTCTGTAAGGGGTAGGTGTGCCATCTGCATATTATTGTAAATTAGAGGATCCATCCATCTACTATCTTAGATGAGTATGGCTTTCCTGCAGGACTTTGTTAAATTGTGTAAATTTAATTTTCATATCCCTTCTGGAATATTGAACAAAACTAATTTTATGACTGTAGGGTTTGAAAGCAGAAGGGGCAGTAAGTTAATATAATTAATCATTGTGTCATTGCTGCAGAATAATGGACTAATTCTCTTCCTAATTTCCAGTTACTTATCATTTGAAATCTCACAGGGAAAACAGCACTGTGTAGAAAGAACAACCAATTAAAGTAAGTGTTTTGTTTCATCATCTTAAGCAACTGTAACAGAACTGAGGAAACTCTGGTTGTGATTTATTAGTTGCATTTTTTGAGTTTTTATATACAGTTAGATATTTGCCTGAACTGCTTCATATGGAAAAAGTAATGAATTTCCCCATATTGACATATTTTTGTGCATCAAATTTGCATTTTAAGAAAACAGTCAAGTACACAGAATAATTAGCTTGAGTTAAAAGGAACAAAACAAGCCATCTAAAACTCTTTGTTAAATTTTTTTTATTCCAGCTCTGAAAAATTAAACTCGCCCTGCAATTATGAAAAATCAGCAGTGGTCTGCCAACAGGTCCTAATTTGGCCCCTTAAACTAACTGCTTATGTTTTACTTACAGGACTGTTTCAAATATTTATTTTATAGCTGCTCATTTTAAATGTACTTACTACCTGTCACTCACCTGAGCGTGGGACTGTGGGCTCTACTAAACCTTTGCAGGTTCAGGGTTGGACTGACACAACAAAGATATCTCTGATATCCCCCATTGGGTTTGGAGTTTGGATGATTTTTAGAGAGAATATCAAGAAGGTGAAAGAGAACAAACAGGAGTGAAGCACTGGGAAATACTGGATCAGAGGTAGAACTAAGGGGAAAAGAGCATCACAGAAATGACTGTGTGGAGTCCATAAAGATGCAGCTGAGTGCCAGGTGAGGTGATGGAAAAGCAGAGTGGGAATGGAGGAAGGAATAGGAAGTTTTGGCACGTGTGAGATTAGACTCCGTGGGATGGGCAGGACAGGAAATGAATAGAAGAGGAAGATAATGTGGTAGCTTCTGTTGCTGTATAGAGTTCAGCATCATTTCTGGCAGCAAGCTGGAAAGCATTTAAATGCTGAGCTTTCAACTAAAAATTCTCATTAAGTTGAGGCCCAGCAACCCTCTTTGAAAGGTTAAAGCAAAAACACCAAACAAGGCAGCATTTTCCCCACTGTTTTTTATGTAAGTACAGATAATTGAACTGAACTTGGAGGAAATACTAACTTGAACCTTTTTATTTTCTTTCCTTGAACAGGAATTCAGCATGAACTGTTTGCTAGTTTGAAGTTTTATTAATTTGGAGCAACTTTAGTCACTGCTGAACCCAAATGAGAATCAAATCGAATAGCTAAAACACTCGACTGTCTAAGCAGATGTAAAAATTCAGGATCAGTTTGCGGCAATACTATTTTCTGCATTTTTAGTTTTGATCCCACTTTTCATTTATCCTGCCCAGATTCTTTCCAGGCTCCTGCTTTGACTCAAGGGTGCTATGGCTTGTAGGAGACCTTCTGGTGGGATGAGCTGGAGAGATTTCATGTTGGGGTTTAAACTGTGTGAGTAGCATTGCTCAGAGTCCTCTTTCTTTGATATTGCTCGATTACTGCTTTCATCCTCACAATGAGCTTCAGGAAGGGTGCAGAGGAATGACTTACCTGCCTGCCAGACACTAGAGAGAATATTTCTCCATGTTGTGCTGTGCTGCGGAGTCAGCTGTCCTCACTGCCTAATTGTTAGATGAGCACTGCTGTGACAAGCCACTTGGAAAAAGCAGGTATTGTGTGGGTTTTCATCTAGAGCTGACATCAGGTGTTTTTAAGAAAAAAAAAACTGGGAGATTCACATAGAAATTGCCACTCAAGAGTTCATGCCACTTTTGTTGTTAGCAAACTTAAATGCTGCACAAGCAAGCTTTTGGAGTTTGATTTTTGTTTTCCTCTGTCTGGGGAACATGATGTCAAGTGTCCATTTTTTATTTTAAGAATAGTCTCAAAGACTTGATTGTTCTTTGATCCTAATGCTGTGCTGAAGGTAGTTCAAAGTTATAAGGAGTTATGTATGCTGTGTCTTAATGAAATGCTTGTCTGAAATTGTACTGATAGCCTGCTGTGAAAAAATCAATTTGCCATCAGCAACTGAATGTACTTGATGCTCAATTTAGTTCACCCAACTATTTCACGTTCGTTCCCTGTAGTAAAACAAAAGGGTCCTGAGAATTAATTACAGTGTTAGCATCTGCTCGTGGCAGCTTTGCTGATATACTTGGTGGAATAAGATACTTGAGGCGGGAGGGAGATGGAGTGTAAAGTTTCTCCCACTGCCATTTCTTATGCAAATATCTTTTGAAGGACAGGCTCCTCTGGTGTTTCTGGTACTTTTTCTTTTGGCATTAGAGCACTCAGTTGTGTTCAAAACTAGCAAATACTAATTGCTTCCAGATAATTTGTGTTATGACACTTTTTTGTAGTTCATATTTCCATAACTGCTGGCTGCACAGTGGAGTATTTTTTGTTTGAATGTTGGTAATGATATTTCTTAAAGTAAATCCTAAACATTTTGGGGGATCAGTAGATGAATGAGAAGTTGCTAAAACTGCAGGTTCCTGAGATTCCCAATGTTGAATCTTGTGTTAGTGTAATTCCAGCCTGCTGTACCAAGCACATTGTGGAGAAGCCTTGAATGCTGGACAAGAATACTTTTGTCTTTTGCAAAGTCTTATTCAACAGTTTCATGTTTTTTAACATTAGAAGTTGTCAGTGTGCTCACATGCACTGAGGTTTTATTGTGCTGAACATATAAACTGAGCAGAGACACAAGCACACAAAATATCAGTAATTTTAGGATTTTAATATTTCATAATTTTGTATTTTCATGCATATTAAAGTAAATAAACTTTGGTCACTTGGTCTAGGAGAAGGATCAGGTCCTGTAATTTTTGCCTGGGCTTTTTATTTTTTTATTTTTTTTTCTGAACCATCACAAGGTATAAATTATCTGTCTTAGAATGCCTGAGAAAACATGACCTCTCAATTCCAAGAGATTTTATTTGTAAGTTGTCTATAAGTTCTGTCATGTTGGATTTGAAATGTGTTCATCCACATCACTGCATTTTAGAGAGGATCATCTTAGACTGCTGTGAGAGAGGGCTTGAAATTTAATCTACTCATGGATGATTGTGATGCCTGTAATGGTGGTAGAGTTGTCTTATTTGCATTGCAGAATGATTTTGCTTCATGTAATTATAATAAAACCCCTAAATTTAGTGAAGTCAGACCAGGTTCATTTAAATTTTCTGTCCATTAGGTTGCCATGTACCAAATGGTTTTAACTTCCTAACTTGTAAGAAGATTGTTGAAGCAGTACCTGACACTGGTCAGGTGCAGTGGTAATTAATACTGAAGTGAAAAGAAAAATACATAAACTAAATATTTAATAAATTAATACTTTTCTAAAACTGCAGTAACATAGTGTGACATTTAATATGCACACCTGCCTATCTTGTTTCTTCTACCCTCTAAAATTTTAACTGAGGGTTCAAAGAGTTTTTCTTTGCTCCCCATTGGCTCAGCAATGGAAGAACATTTCTGTATTTTGCAGATATGCTTTATTAGAACATCACATGGCAGGAATTTAAACTCTCTGCATATGGAACCATTTTTAAAAGAACATTTGCTGCTCCAACAGAGTAAACATAGCCTCTAAATAATTATTTTTGTATCTACTTAGCATGGCCATCCTAATCAGGAAAAAAGTCATATTTCCTTATAAATGAAAGGTGGTTATATATCAAAAGTGCTGCTGAGAGTGTTTGTGATCTCTTTAGACATGAACAGATACTCAGGTGAATTGAAAACTAGGGTTTTTACAGTTCTTGAATATAGTTTTTATCAAGGTATATGCTTCAAGTGTTGTTTGGCAGTATTGAGGGGACAGAAAAGAAAAACCTGTTCTATCATTCTATAATTTTTATAGTACACGGTAATTGTTACCATAAAAATACATTATATATGTTTACATAAGCTGTAAGACTTCCAAACCAATTTTTTTCTGTGTTAGCTTTGGTCCACAAGGCAAGCAGAATCTTCTCATCATCATTCCTTGCCTGAGAAATAATTGCCAAAAAGAAGTGGGTTTTTTTTGAATACTTCAGCAAAACAGAAGTGGGAATTTGTATGTGCTTTCAATTTGATAGGTAGGGAAACAATTAATAATTTTCCTTTTTTCTTTTTTTGGTGTGGGAAAAGTATTCCTGATAGCCTAATATTTAACACAGCTGGGAGGAAAACTGTAGGTTTTGTACACCACTTAATTTCTCTAGACATTGAGATGTCTTCACCTGGAGAAGGAGCCTATTTTGTGTCTAGCATTTTTCATTAGAGGTACTAATTAGCAATAGCTAACAAATGATGCTGTTATGCATTAATACTCAGAAGTGCATCCAGGATGGATGGATCCACATTGGATCCATCACTGAAATTGGGAACACCTGCTCTCAGAGCTCTGGGCAAGATACCAAATGTAGAGATGCTATTGAAACAGCATGTACAGAGTATTTAATATAGTTTTAAATAGATTGTTTTGTGGATTATTTTGAAGTAAGCATTCTTAGTGTGGTTGCCTGCACTGCTTGGAATTGGACTTGATCATTCAGATTGTCCCAGGTCAAAGGTCCAGTGGAGGGGTGAGGGCACTATTGTCTTTATCCATGTTTGGTGTCAGTAAAATATAGAATATTTTGTTACATTCCTATTTAACATAGATCAGTTTTCAAGCCCTGATTAACTCCTTACTGCACTTGTCTATCTCTGTGGCAAAAAGACCTTTTCTTCAGCTTTGAAGGGCCTTCATTACTTATCTTTCCTTGATTTGTGGTAGCTGCATACATCACATTGAAACCCTCACCTTCCTTTATGGTAACAGAAGGGTTTCAAGTCCACCTTAAAATACTTCAGGAGTTGGACTCATGTGTGTAGTTAAGAAAAATAAATTAAATAAGGTCCTTCTTTCAAATAAACCCCTCTCTGTTAACCATGGCTGGACGTACGGGGAAAATGCACACATTACAAAACTCTCTTTTCTTCTGTTCTTATTTTAGTCCAGCTCATAAATTTGCAGATATTTATTTTTTCCCCCTAAATGTTCCTAAAATAATAAATTATAAACTCAAATTAAAGTTAATATTTATGGTTTATTATCATTATTTATATATTATTAATATAGATAAATCTACATAGATATATATTAATATATTATATTATTATTATTTCTATATTTAGTTATTCTAGTTATTATTTATGAAAGTTACAGCTGCTAATTTTTTCGTGCTCCTGTACCTACCAGAAAACCAACCAAATGGACTTTTTATTTGTGGGATGTTTTTATTTTATTGTTTCCTTGTTTGTTGGCTGCTTTGCACTGAAACAGTATTTTCATCTGCTTCCTTAACCAAGGCAGAAAAGTCTTGATTTGGACTTGCCAAATTTCTCATGTTTTTAGCATGTAGGTATAGAAAGGTTACAGGGTTGGATTTTTTAGATGATTTCTCTTATCATATATTGTCTGCAAACCAGAGGTTTAGAGGGAGGGTGGGGAATTACATTAGAACAAGTCTTTAATAAGCCATCACAACAGGTACATATATTTTATTGGAGACTATTTCATTGCCACAGCCCAATGCCTACTAAGATAAATATTTATGTAAGAGGGTGCTTTCTACCTGCATATCTTATTTCATTTGTATTAGTTTTTTAAACTATGGAAACCACTTCATATTCTTTGTACAGCAATCTGTACAAAAATTCTGCAATGACTTGTGTTTTAACTGAAAAACTTTTAGGGGTCTTCCAGTTGAAGAAGTTTGGAACAAATGCATTAAATTTGATGGCAGGCAACCTTTGAGGAATATAGACAGTTGTATTGAAAAGTAAAGTAACGGTAAGAATTAATTTTTACTCTTGACATTTCTCTTCAGTAAATAACTTTCTTACAACTGCTCTCATAATTCACATGCCCCTGTTTGTATTCTTAAATTTTGATAGATCTCTGCACTTTACGACTGTTCAAACTGCATGTTGATGGCAGTAAAAACGAATGACATTTAATTTAGTACCACTGAGTTTTCATTTTCAAGGAATATCTTAAGTAAATGCACCAATGTGGTACACTCTGGAAGATCCTAGGAACAGTTTTTTGTACCCTTTCCCCCTTTCCAATCTTTGAGAGCCAATCTTTGAGATTATAGATGTTATTTTGAGATTTTTGCATAAAGTAGATAGCTGAGCATGTGTTTGTGTGCACTAAACCATGTGTGTTCCTGGGAACTTTTTTATTTAATGTTAAAGAGAAATTGGTACCTTCCCAGTTCATGATAACAAAGTATGGAATTAAGGAATACATACATTTGATTGTGGCAGAAAACCAAATGGAAAAGAACAGCACTGAAAACAAGACAGCAGGGTTAACATAACTTTTAGGGGAGAAAGGCATATTTGGTTGCTTACCTTTTCCTTCTACTTAATATAATTACCTCATTTGTGACTTTTCATTAAAATCTGCCTTACTGTCATGTAGAAAAATAAATTTTAATTGGTGCTACCTTTAGTGCATTTTCAGAGACCCAGCGAAATCTGTAATTACTTGCAATTTTATAATTCATTTTAAATACATAATGACATAGCTATTTGCCTATGTAATCTATGTACTGGTATGCCACTTCATGCAAGGAAGAATGTGTTTGTTTTTTTTTGCAGGCCCATGTTTAGGTGATGCTTGATTTAATTTTTTAATGATAAACCTTAGATAGCATTTAAAATTGAGATTTTTTGTGTACGTGCTGAGTGACTGAACTGTTTTGATTGGTATCAGACAGGTTTAAGGCTGGCTTTACATGTTTAAGCTAGCTTTATGCAAGTTATAGGGTTTTCATTATGAAAGTTTTAACACTGAGAATACCAAGTATCAGTGCACAAAATACCAAGAGATTTTACTGCAATCACATCTAAGACATTTCTCTTTCATATTTACTACAGGAAAAGTTTTGAACTGGATGCCATGACTCGCAAATTGATCCCCATCTCAATGGTAAAATCAGTAAATGTTTGATCTGAAAGGAAGAAATATTGATGATTTCTGAATATAAATTCTAACACATCATTGTACAGTGGCCTCCACTTTTCATTCAAGGTCACATCACCTTTTATAAAGGATAGCTTGAGCCTCTCTAGGCTATTGAAAAGGAAATGTAGAATAAAGATGCCACCTTGTGGGTGAACTAAATGATGCAGTAGATGATTCAAAATGTTTGACAAGCAGATTCTATGTATTTGTGACTGGCTGCTGGAAATTGAGTTTATTTTTTCTTAAATATTTAAAGTTATTTTTAGAGTTTAGGTTCATGAATTTTTATGAAGTGTCTAAGTAACTACAGCTGGGCCATTCTGGAGTAGGTGTTAAATGACTGCTAAAAATCATGCTTGTAACCACCACATAATTTTGGCATCAAATTCAATGCATTGTTCCTAATGTATTAAAGCACAATTTTAATTGTGTCATACAAACCTGATTGAATGACAAAAAAACAAACAAAAAGGGGAAGATTTTGCAGCTATTCCCCTGTGTGAAAACCGAATGGTGATGCATTCAGGTTCCTGTGCTGGAATTTCCAATACATACCAAGATTAACACATTACCTGTGTTAATTTGTCATTCTTAACTGCATGTCATGGATTTCTTGCAGTGTTCAAAGAAATACCAGGTGTCTACAGACCCTGGTGCCATGGTTTTGACTCACCTTTGCCTTGGGCAGGTTTATATAGAATGCTCTGGATTTTTAGGACTTTATTTCAGTGTTTTTTGACACATTCAATGGTAATGGCCTCTCCCAGCTGCTCTATATGGGGAACACAACTGAGAGAAATGGTACTAATACCTCCATTCTTGTTTAGATTTTTGGAGATCCATTCATTCTGGATTTTGCTTTGGAAAATCCATGTTTATTGTGCACCCCAGGTTTCTTGCATAAGAATCTGACAAACTCTTCAGTGTCGCTTAGACTTGTTTGTGGCATTGTGAATCTTTGATGTGACACTGGTGTGAGGAACACTTTCTGCTTATTTAAGGCACTGTGAGCAACATCATATTCCTTTGGATTTATTTCTTCCTGGCTTGTCTGCAGGTTTCAGGAGGATTGTTAATGTAACTGATGTAAATACCTCAGTAGGGTTCTCTTTTTCCATGAAATTTGGTTCAGATTAGGCAAAGGCAACTGCTGTCCTCTCCCTTTTTTATGGACAAGTGGGTTAATGCAGGAGGGGGCTCTGCAGTGCAGCTGAGTAAGTCATCACTGGCAATTAATTTCTCCACATCTGGCATCTCAGATTATTTTATAAAGGTGTGGTTTTGCTGGCCAAGAGGTAGACTCTTCATTTGGTAGCTGGAATGGCAGAGGAATTCCTGATACCTGGTCACAGCTCTGAAATCTGCTTCTTGTCCACATGCTGCCCCCTGAGCTGCTGAGAAGACTGTGGGAAGCTGCAGTAGCACAGAGTCTTCCCTGTGAGCTCTGCTGTCTCAGGGGTCTCCTGGGGGCTGAATGTCTGGTGGCTTTTCTTGGCTGATGTTGACCATGAGAGGTCAGGTATTAAAAAAATTTATTACAGCATACTGTAAAATATTCCTAGCCTGAAGATGTTTTAGGCTGTTTTAGGCTTTAGATGTTTTAGGCTATTCTGTGTTATGCTCTGAGTTATCACCCTTAGGAAATAATCTATGACATCAAAATCATCCAAGAAGTCAAGCAATAAGTGCCAGATGCAGATTATTTTTTGAGTTTGGTTGTGTACACCTTTTAAGCGTGTCAAGTTTTAATAACCCCATGCCCCATTATTTCAGTGGTGTTTATGTATATTTAAACACTAGTGCAAGAAATTAACATTGTATTTGCTGCTTCAAAATCTATTACTGCAGCTGCCTATTCTTAATGTCCTGTAAGTGCTTGTGATTTGAATGATTTTTTTCTTCTATGGCAGCTGAGTATTCTGAACTTAATGCCTTGTGCTCAGGCTCAGAAATTACAGGGTATACAAAACATATTCTGAAATTCATTCAAACTTTTAAAACTTATTATGTCTAGCAGAGACAGATTTAAGATTACTGTGGTTTCTGCTTGAAGTACTCCAAGCAGAAATCCATACTCAATTAGGTTCTGAAACATTATGTGACCTTAATTTTCCACGTATTTTGCCCTTCAAATTGAAGATAGTATTTTAATACTATTTAAGTCTCCTGAAGAGCCTTGTAATACTATAGGCTTAAGTTGTGAAACATTTGAACAAAATGAAAGATAAAAAAGTAATTTAGAATTTTTTATTTTTTTAAATGTATAGCAACATAAATATATGCATCAAATAACACATTGAAATTGGTGATAAAAATTGCATATTTTCAGTGCGTTTTCCAGTGAAATTATGTGTACATGCAATCAACCATATTTCTTGTATGAAGGTCTTTCTTTGCATTTGACTTTTTTAGGCAGAGGCATTTCCAGTGATTCGAACCTAGGGATTTGTCTTTTATGTTGTGGTGTACTTCACATAAAATTCTACCTGCAGAGTAGATGTAGGATCACATCTCAGGAGATGAAAGACAATTTCAGAGCTAAACTTTCTTTGTGTGGAAAAAAAAGAGAAGAATTAGCTTTAAAAAATCTTACAGAAAATGTTAGGGGAGAAATGGATGTTTTCCTATTAATAAATGCAATGTTTTCTTTCAGCAATATTAAATACAAGGAAATGAAAATTATCAGCACCTGCTGGTATGCCCAGCTCCATGAGATGTTAGAACTGGACCTAATAAATGACAGCAATGGCTTCTGATATTTTATCCCCTTTAACAAAATCCTTGAGCACTCCCATGGCTGTGCATTATGACAGAGGCAAAATGCATTAATGCCAAAAATCTGGACAAATGGAAGAGAATGTAACTGAACTACAAGGGCACTTATTCTGGATGTGCAATTGGATCTATTCATGTGTATATTTTGTACGTAAAAATATTTTGATAATAATAATATTTTGATAAAGTGTGTATCTCAGTGGTTACCCTAAGTTTTGGTGCTTTGGGGTTTTTTTTGTCTAAAAATCATGTTTTTTTCATATATAATGAATATGATATGTTCATTGATATGATGTTTATTTCATATACAAAAAAGTGTTAATGGCAGGGTTTTCTGTAAATGTGTAAGACACTGCTTGCTATTATTTACTGTAACAACTTAGTGTAGGTTGTCTTACCTAAAGATTTTCATGAATTTGCTGATAAGCCCAAAGGACTGTTGAATGAAACATGCTTTTGGCAGGCCTGTGTGCTGATAGCTGCCTAACAGATTATACGAATGTCACAACCTCAAAGAGAATGGCCAGGGATGTGGCTGTCAGCACTGAGACATTTTTCAGTCACAGCTTCAGGTTGGGCATTCTACTTATTGAGCACAGGAAAAAATATAAAACATAACCCAGCAGGCAACCATTAATTGCATTTTGCTTGTCTGAGCTGCTGTTTGCCTGTTCTAGGCTGCCAAACACAGAGCTTTTCCCACGTATTTCCTTCACTGTTTCCCAGTCCTGGGGGTTTGCTGCTAGTTTGGGATCCTTCTTTGAGAGCTGCAAGTGCAGTGGTCACTGGTGGCTACTGAACTGGGTCTTAGTGGCTGGTCCAGTTCTGATGAAGTCAGAATGAATTCCTTTTGTTGACTAGACTGCCAATTCTGGTTTTGAGCATTGCAGGCTGCCTTGGCACTTGGTGAGTGTGAACATTCACCCTGTATTTCTGCCAAGCTAGGAGTAGGACAACTGTGAGTGCAGAAAGGCAGCCAGGAATCTTGAATCAGAGCTGTGAAAAATTATGTCCCCTTTAGTCTGTGCTTGTGGGTTTTATTTTGCCAAAAACTGCAAACTTGACCTCTGATTTGCTAAATATTCCTAACTAGCAAGTGCAAGCAATCTAAAAAAGGCTGTTTTAAATGATTCAAGATAGTATATTTGTTGATTTTTTTAAAAATTTTTTTTTGTTTCATCTAGAAAGCTGAGAAGTTTTGTGTCTACTTTACTAAGAGTGATTAGCCCAGCACTCTGAAATGCACAGAGTGAAAGGAGGAAGTCTGGAAGATTGTGGAAAATGCCATCAGAATATGAAAAGGTCAAACACTTATAAAAATTAAACACTTATAAAAGTTTCCAGTGTTGGTGGGGTTAAAGAAAGATCTTTGTCAGATTTCTAGAAGTACTGAGTGTACACCATAACACATTCACTTACTACTTAGAATTTTTGTCAACCATAATTTTTGTAATCATATTAATCTTTATTAAGAGAAGAAGCTTCAGTCTGATACTGGAAGGGTGGATCTGTTTTTATATCTTACTCTCACTAAGAACTAAATAAACTTGTGGCCACTGTTTCTGGCAGTTGCAGAATTTCCTTACAGTGTTATGTCACTTGTAATTGTAAGCTTGTAATCTCTGGTTTTGCATGGCAAATTCTCTGGCATTCCCAAACAAAATCAAACTTCCCTGTTCTTCACATTCCAGTCACATATAAAATGTTTTATCTCATAAAATACTGGGGAAGAATGTTCCTATCTATCATTTCACAAGAGAAGAACAAAACTAAGTTTTATTTTTGAAGAAACAACATGATCTTGTCCTTTTAAATGAAAGAAGAGATCATTTGCCTGTGAAAATTAAATCCTCCACAGTTTGTAGTTGCTTTTCAAACTCCTCAGCCTGACAGTGAAATCGTGTAATCTGATAATAGCATGCCTGAGGCTTATTGTGATTTTTTGGGCAGTGGTATTAGCAGCTGCTGTGCTCTGTTGATTTTAGTCACTTAGGGTTTGATGCTGATCTCACTGACCTGAGTGTAAATGTAGTGTGACTACACTGACTTCACTGAAATTAGCATAAACATTTTGGAGTAACTGAAATCCACATTTATTTAATCACACTTGTGGTTCTGCTGTGGGCTTTTCAGAAGTCACTAAAGAAAGAAAGGTATGGGTGACTTTCCCCATCTCTTTGTGACAGGTTCCTTAATTCAAAGAGTGTTTGTTGCTGACCAGTTGTTAGAATTGCTGTTTATCTGTCTGTGTGTTTGTACTGACAACTCAAGGTCTTTGTGCTAAATGCACACGCTGGTTGACTTTCCCTTGTCTTACAGCCAATTTGAATTGCTTTAAGATTCCTGTGCCTTGTCACTAGAATTTCTCTTTATTCATGAACCTCCTCACTGGCTTTATAGTCATTTTGAATGATATGAATGTATTTGAGTGTCTGTGGTTGGATGGAGTAATTTGACAGGTTCTAGAAGTGGTAAGTGGTTGGTGTTGGTAAATGGCCATAAATATAAACTAGTGAAATGTAGGATCTAATCCCACAGTCATTTTTCCCCCTCTGATGCTGTGGGATCAGATGGGAGATCTGTCTTTATAACAGGGACTAAGGCGTCAGGATTGTACAGAACAGAAATTGCAGCTTGTTCACAGCAGATTTTATAGCACAGATGTCTTCAGTGGCACAGACATGAATGTTTCCTATTTAGTGAAGTCTTTTTCTTAACTCTGGAGGCTTTTCAGACTGGTAAACCAAACTCTCCACAGCAGACCCTTCAGTTTTTTCCTTATAGTAAGGCTAGTTAATTTGAGGCTGAGCCTCATGTGCTTTTTTCCTCCTTTATTTTACTGACCAAAGAAATTTAATGGGAATCTTGTGCCCCTTTGTTTCGCATGGCTCTCTAAATCTCCCATTTCAGTATTTTAAAACTTCAAGTAAAAGATGAAGGTGTTAGAGATATCTGTGTTAATAACTACTGACTGCTACTCATAACTGGTGATTAAGTAGTGACCAGTGTCTGTAATCTCTGATAATAAACTGGTTCGCTGTATCTTTCATGCATCCTCAGTGTAATTTAGGGATAGCACAGAAATGTTAAACAAAATCAAGAGGTAAGAAAAGGAGGAGAATGAAAGAGTTTTTTGAGCTGTTTTTTTTCCTGGTACAAGGGAGGCTGTCTGGAATACATGTGAAAGCAGGATTTTAGCTGTGTCCAGGCTTGGAGGAACTGCAACACACAGAGAAGGTCACCCTTGTCTTCTGCCTCCTTTCCTTTGTGATTCTGATCTCAGCAGCCACAGGAGAAAGCAAATGTGTTGGTCTAGGAGAGAAAGTCTCCAGAAGTGTCTGACCTAAACCATGGCTTTCTCTTGGCTCAGACTGACAAGTTCTGCTTTTGTCACTGAGGGCAGGGGTGACCCAGTATTCCAGTGCTTCTGCTCCCTGCTCAGACAAAAGCTGATGCAGCTGTTAAAGGGCTGTAGTGCTGCACAGGACACACCTGGCTCTGGGAATCTCTAGGAAAGTGTTCATGTGTTTTTTAGGAATTCCTGGCCTGCTTTCTAGGAATTCACCTCTCAGATTTCCAGGCATTTGCACTGTGCTTTCTAGGAAATGCCAGCTTCTGCTTTCTACTTATATTTTCTCATCATTTTCCAGGATTATTTCCCTATGTTATTTTGTGGTTTTTTTCAGTTTGTTTTGTTTATTGTATTTTTTCCCCTGTGCTACATCATGATAATTCCCCTCAATTTACAGGAATCGCTTATGTGCCTTCTGTAAATTTCCTCTTTCATTTCCAGGAATTTATCTCTGGTTTTCAGGAATTCTCCTTGTCTGCTTGCTACGAATTTAACCTCCCATGTTTTGTGAATTTTCTTTGTGCTCTCTGAGGAATCTCCCCTCTAGGGAGGTATCCTTCATAGATTTTTTGCTCTGTACTTTGTAGGGATTTACTTTGCATGTTCTAGAAAATTTTCCTTATGCTTTCAAGGAATTCTTCTCTGCCTTCTAGAAATCTTCTCTGTGCTGCATAGATATTTTCTCCTGCAAATTCAAGTAATTTACACTCTGCTTTCTCAGACATTCTATATGTGTTTTGTAGAAATTTTCTGCAGGTTTTTGAGGAATAAACCCTTTACTTTCTAAGAATTTCTCACACGCTTCCTTGGATTTCACCTTTCATTTTCTGGGAATTACATCTTTTTCATTTAAACTAAGGGCAAAAAATGGACTACTCACAAATGGTTAATTTATTAACTAGTAGAATCAACTATTTATATGGTTTATAGCTCAAGCCTTTTGTGTTGAGCCTTTACTTATTGCAAGCTGCAATGGGGTCCTGGCCCCATTTTTTTCCTGTTCTAGGTGCTGCTCTTTTATAAGTAAAACTGTAGGATGAGGCCTCAGTGTGCACTCATAGCTCTTGCAGTACTTGTCTTCTTGTATGAATCAATTTCCATGTAATAATATTAGAACATTAATTGTGATAACTGGTGTTATCTTAATTTAACAGATAAGGAAAATTGTAGCAGGAAGGTGATGTAACTTCTCAGCTCCCAAAGGAGCTTAGGGAAGATTTAATTTCTAGCTCAATTTAGAAGCAGATCCGCCAAAAGTAGAAGTGAACAGTTAGTAAGGGTTGAACTCCAGCATTCTGCTTTGCTTCAGGTTTTTTAGTCAAGTTCAGGTATTGCAGATGCTAAAAATCATGAAGGAATTGAAACAAAAGAACTAGAATGTTAGATGCTAATATATTGGCCACATAGTTCCCACCTTCCAACACCAGAAAGTTCAAGGGAGCTCCCAGCATGGCCATTTTTTATCCATGATGGACAACATCGTGTCCCTTGGCATGTCCACCTTGACCAGCAACAGCTAAACACATCTATGTGAGCCCTCATTTTCTTGGATCCCTTACAGTTTAAACTTTGGTCAAAAGCACCTACAAAAATCCTGTGAGTTGGGAAAGATAAACAACTTCAAATTTCTCTTTGGTCACATTGTCAGTTCACAAAGGAAAAGAAAGCAATTTGTGTTAGGAAAATGCCTCTAGGTGCTGAAAGCTGTCACATTCCTCCTCCCTTTTCCTGTTTGTGTCACATGATATTAAAAAGAGGCAGGTATTAATCTGCTCCTCCTGTACAACTCTAAGTTGTATAAAATGTGCTTTTATCATAGTTACCCTGAGTGGTTAAGGCAGATAATTCACTGCTGGAGTGTTTGAGATTTTTATCTATCCATGGGGCAGTCTGCTACACCATTTGCTCATTCTTTAATTGGTTAATTAAATATGTTATAGCTTCTAGATTTGGAGATTAATAAAATCTTGCAAAATAATCTGTTAGGCACATAGAGATGGGGTAGGCTTTGCCTGGTGTCTTGCCCTGTGGTTCTGACACCCACACGATTCTGAGAAAGACCACGTGACTCTCATGAGGGGATTAAAATAACATGAATAGGAAATCTCAGTCAAAAACTAATGTAAAATCTGTATTTTTATTTTTTCTTTATTCCTTTATTTTTTTTTAATATTGGTAGTAATCTAAATTAAGAGAGCTGTAAGCCCCTTCCTCATTTATTGTTTTGTTGATTCATTTATTTTGAACTTGTAGTATTTTCTTGTACCTCATTTATTATTTTGTTGATTTATTTATTTATTTTGTTGATTTATTTATTTTGAACTAGTAGTATTTTCTAGGGTTTACAAAGGTGTTTGTGAAAAAGTTCCTATTCCTCCTTTTTCTTGAATTGTCATATTGATAATATTAAAGAGAAAAAAACATATCCTTCACTTTATTGATTTATTAACAGAAGATTTTACTCCAGTCAGAATTTTTTAATGCAAAAATTTTGTTCAGAAGCAAAAATGTAAAATAAATTCAGGATTTTAGCCCTTTTTAAATGTTTTCAGAACATCTTCAAGAGAACAAAAAGATTTCTACATATCATTAAGCTTATATCTTTTTTGTGTTAGTTATCACATTTTTTTTCCTGGTACATTTCAGAGAATCAAGAACTGTAATAACTTCATCATATTACAGTTAAAAATTTCTTAGATAGTAGGACTAAGAGTATTAATATTGTCAGAGACTTAAATATGGAAATAGGGTATTAATCACGTTTCATGTAAATTGCAGAACGTAGGCTATTGAGTGAGATTAGAAGTTATCTCATGATAAAAGCACTCGATCAGAAAAGAACATTCTCTTAAGTAGTTTTTGTCTCCATGTAAGTATTTTGTACTATTGTTTTCTAATAAATCACCTGTCATTCAAATAGAAAAGTCCTAGATCTGGGAAATGAGGGGCTAGGATGGAACCAAAGGGCTTAAGGATGTTGAAATGACATCTGAGATTATCTCTGAGGTTCATCAGAGGCAATGGAGCAGAGGAGCTTTCGCAGAACGCCTGCTGAAAACCTGGTCCTTGTTTTCTGTGGGAATGCAGTTTGCATGATCTCAGCTTAAGCCAATGTTTTCCATTTTCTTGCAGCTTGGATCCTTCTTTCAGCTCACTGATATCTCCCTGTGTCTAATATACCACACCCTCATGGTCTCCAGAGACTGAAGCCCCCTTCACCAGAGGTGAGCTGTGCTGCTTTTGTCACTGCCCAGGGCAGCAGCTGTCTCAGCATGGGGAGCAGCTGCTTTCTCTGAGGCATGACCCCAAATTTCGGCACTGTGATCCCTGTCCTGCAGGAGTTGAGCCAGTTGGAGGCAGTTCCCTGTGCCTCACTTACAGCAGCCATTTGCAATGGTAGAATGAGTCTCTTTATTAAAGAGTCTCTTTATTAAAGGTGGGAAACTTGTTGGTATTTCAAAAAGGCTTGTTAATCCCCTAACACTTCAGAGATTGCTTCTTCTCTTTTTTCTGCTGTGGAGCAAATGAGCTCTGACCTTCTTGCCCAGAAATGTTTAGCTAAGCTTTCCTTCTTTGGAGCATTTTAACTCCCTCTGAGCCTTGTTGTGCAGCTTCTCTTTTGGGAAAAGTAGACTTGGAAGAATCATGTGCAAATCAGCTCTCCAGGGGAATTGCAAGAGTACCCAGAAATCCTTGCATTTGTTATCCCTGTTTTGGCAGCACTGCTGAAGGATGTCCTCACATGATGCCAGTTAGAAGCAAAAATTCTTTTTTATTGGGTGCTCCAGATCAATGGCTTCCCAGGTTTTTTGAAGTATTTTGAAATCCTCTTAAAATGTGTTGTATTCCATTTGCTTTGAAGGAAAAATCTATTATAGTTTTGTACTGTCTGGTGGGAAAAAAATGTGCTTTTTCCATCTCTGAATGCACCCAGTGATTCTAAAAAAGCTGAAGTATCATTTTTGACTGTGTGTTTTTTGTTTTTGCAGATCTGCTGTCCAAACCAGCATGCTGTGTTATGCCAACCCAGTGCCTTGTCAGCATGGCAGACAGAATACAGGGCTTTTGTGTTCCACCCACCCCCTCATCTCTCAGGTTTTATTCCACTTCTCTGAACAGTGGACACATTCCTGCCAGTCTCAGTGTTTTAATTTAATTTGGGCACAGGCTATATAAAACTGAACAGATGTCTGAAAGAAGTGAAGACCATAAAATGAACCTCATAATCAGCTTCATTTGAACCAAGCAATATTTTTTTTGTCTCTGTTGCCACAAAGTTCACACATGACTTGGGTGTGACAAGAGGATGCAACATGGAGAGAGGAGGTAAAGAGACTGGAGTTGGACCTAATTTTCTTCGCAATGTATTTTTGTTTCCAAGACTAGGTGTTTCTTCATCTTTTACAGTTACCAGTGCTCATTTCTCCGAAGTAAAGTAAGTTAAAAAGTAAAATTCCCCATTAAGTTAAAAAAAAAAATATTAAAGAAAAGAATAAAATGTCTTCCACAGAAAATATTTTTCAACTCTTGCCCCCAAGAGACAACATAACATTCTTTTCAATGGTCATAAAAAGTGCTGGTTTCCAAGAAATTCCTGGAAACACGGGGTGGTAGTTCCATCCAGTAGGCAGGCCAGGAATTCCACAGCACAATATTTCACTGCCTAAAATAATCCATTCATCAGAAGATAAGCTGAAAAAAAATTTCGCTGAAATACTGAACTTTTGAAAATGTTTTATTTTTAAGACATTTAACATTATTTTTTTTTACCTGCAGGTAATGTAATAAATGAGGTTAATTATATAATTTTTTGAAAAGATGTCATGGTTGTGACATGACAGTGATATTCATATGTGATATCATGCCTTAAGATTGAGCCAATTCTTGCAAAGGTTTGTCTGCAAGAATGTCTCCAGTAGATATATTTTCTTACCAGTGTCTAAACTGATGAAGAAATACATGCCCTAAAACACTTATTAATCCTACAAATAGTCTAACACAGATTAAGTTTACAGGCTTTAAAGGTATTGTGTTTTGAACATAAAGCTTTTGTTTTAGGAGTCAGAGGTTGCATGTGATCGGCAATTTTCTGGTTTTCCTCCCACCCACTTGTACCTTGATGTTTTTCAATTATGGTTCCCCTCAGATGTAGAGAAGTGTGTAAATGGTAATATTATTACAAAGATAGTAGGTGAAAAAACTGAGGCTGAAGCTGGATTTGAAGTTGATTGTCTTTAATTTCTCAGTATTTCACTCTCATTGATGTACAGTCTCTTTTCTTATCATTCCTGCAGTAGTTAACATTGATGGAGACATATTTATCCTGTATCATAATCCTCTCTTTGGGCTTTAAAATTGTTCAGTTGAAAACTTTAAAAGCTTTTGTTGGAGGAGTTTGTTACATGTAAATCTAAAAAGAAAATTGAAAAAGGCACTGAAACTGAAATTTCAGAATTAAATGCATCATCTTGGAAAGCAACATAAATGGATCCCCTTCCAGGAGTACTTCTACATATACATTTCTTTATATTCATCTACATGGGTATAAAGTAACAATCACCCTAAATTAGAAATATCTGAATATGCAATCAATTATTTGCTTTTGTGACTTATGTGGAAAATGTGAGTAGGAGGAGGACACACAAAGTCTCAGCAAGGAAAATGAAGATGGTGTAGCCATAGATGTTGGTCACTACTGCAAAAGCAATGTTGAATTATATTGGATAGTCAGCCCTAGCAATTGGAAATGTCATAGCTCTCTAGATGTGTTACTGGCATCTAAACACTATCCACTTTCAGATCTCCCAGGAGTTTTATGAAAATGCATGACAAAGTTTGTTTAAATGACACTCTTTGAAAGAAAATATGCTTGGGAGGCTGTGGGGTTTTTTCAGTATTATATTCAGGAACTGCCACTTCATTAAGAACAGTTTTTAATATGTAAGTTCTCAGCTATGGACAATTTTTGCAATTCCCAAGCCAAAGGCACCATGGAAGGTGGTTTTGTTTCTTTTTTTTTGGTTTTATTTACCAGTAGTTTTTACAGAGTGACTACTCACTCACTTTGTCTTGTTTCCTAAGACAGCACCTGTGAAATTTCTGGAAATCAGTAGGAAAATGCATGAAAAGCAGCTGGGAAACTGGGAAGGCATTGGGAAATTTTCTAGGAAGCACTTAGTAAATTCCTGAAAGTTAGGACAGAATTCCTAGAAAACAGAGGGAGGTTTTTCCAAAAAACACGTGGAGGAAAATACCTGCAGAGAAAGGGGAAATTTCCTGAAAAATGAAGTGGTATGGCCTAGAAAGTGGAAAGTAGAAAAAGTAGAAGAGCAATCAAAGTGAATACTTTCAACAACACACTTAAAATTTCTAGGTAGTTGGCTGTGGATTCCCCAAAAGCACACAAGGAAGTCTTATAAAGCAAAGGGGGAATTCCCAGAAATCCCATGCCAAGTTATGGGCATGGGGAAAATTGTGGAAAGTGTGGAATAAGTGGAAAATTTCCCAGAAAGCTGAGGATATTCCTTTAAAACAGTGGCATACACTCCTGCAAAGAATGAGGTAAATTTCTATGATTTGGGGTATGGATGGGCACTTGTAGAAAGCAGGAGGGGAATTTTCCAGAAATCATCTGGGAATTTGATGGAAAACAGAGAAGAATTCTGGACAATGACAGGTGGCAGCTCATGATACTTTACAAAGTGAAGCAGAAAACTTGTACCAAACTCTGCAAGTAGCTGATCCTAAGCCTTACAGCAAACATGCATGAAGACTGAAACATATTGAGTAGAAAATACTACAAATATTTTTGTTGGAAAAATCAGATTGCTTCTCTTTGTCTTTGATAGCAAAAACATCTTTTGGACATACGATTGCAAGGTTTAAATTAGTTTATATTAATGGATAATCAATAAAGTAAGATTTTTAAGTAGTTGCAGTACTTGTTATGATTATCTGTTTTTTGATGAAATTCATCCATTTGGAAGGAAACTAGAAGGTGACAGCCTTGGGATGATAACTGAAGTGAAACACAAGACTACTGTCAAAAAACAAGCCACTAAAAAAACTTCAGGAAAAGAGTAAATATCTTGTAGATGTGCGATATTCTTTAAATTATTCCTAGCTTTCTTATTATCTGATGATTCTCCTCTTCCAATATCTGTTTGAGCACCAAGACAGAGGTCATATCAGATAAAGAATTTCTCTTTTCAGTTATGGAGATGTATATTATTTTTCAGGTAGTCCTTTGTGTCTCATTCATTGCCCATGTGGCAGAAACCTGAAGCAGTATAAGTTGTGAAAATGCTCAAACTCTTTGTCTAACTTGTAATTCAGGGCTTTTATTCTTCCATGAAAGAATAATTGAGAATGTATTTGCATATTAGATTGCATAGTAACCAAACCTCTTCAAAGTATATATGCAATTGAATAGTGTTTCTTGTGTAAGTATTTATTTGAGTTTTTATCAATAAAGCAAGGTGAAAATAAGGAATAAAAAAAAGCATTCCATTCACAAATCAGCATGAATACCATGGTGCAAATTTTTCACTAAAGTTTTGTGGCTGAGCTGACAGATAAGTTTTCAGCACTTAATAATGGCAGCATATATTATAAATACTACAGTAAGATATGTAAAGCAGTATTTGCTGTTAGCTGCATGTGTAGGAATTTTTTTTCTTGGGATATTGAATTGTTTGGAAGTCTCATTTGATTCAAGTATTACAGTTTTAATTCCTGGTTGCTGAAAAGTTGAATTTTACTTTTTTTTCAAGGGTTGGTAATCAGGCTTTCTAGAAGCCATTTTCAATGCATTAAATGGAAGAGGCTTTAAGCTAAATCCACACTTAGCCCTTGATTTGAAATCACAGTATTTTTGTACATTTTAAAAATGTGTATGTTTTGAAAGCTTCCGGGTTTGTTGTAGTAAACACAATACTGACAATGTTTGTGGCTGATCAATTGTCCTTTGCCTTCTGTCCATAAAATACTAAGTGCATTGGGGTTCTAGGTCATCACAACAGCTGTAGCATTGCAATTAGTTATATATTGTTATTATATTAGAAGAAACTAAACTCAGAGAGTACAAAATCATTACATTCTCCCTTTTATTAATATTAGCAGACATATCTTGTAATGGAGCTGTGTGAGGATGGAGAACTTAAAAAATGCTTTGTGGTAAAGCGCATTTTACAGAAAATGAGACAGGACACATCATTCAAAGCCTTGCTTCAGCAATAGGGTGTCTGCACAAAAACTGTAATTACATTCCTCTGTTTCTCTCGTATGTTCATTGATTTCGAGTGTTCATACATTTAAAAACAGTTACTGATTGATATTTTATCTATTATTTATTTCATAGGATAAAAATAATCCAGTAAAGAAAAAGTAAAATCCACTACATGAATGTTTTTTTAGAACTTTACTTTTCTTACAGATGCAGTATGAGCTGCCATTTTCTTTTATTTCTCTTTCTGCTCCAGCTATGGAAATAACTGTGTTATTATTTTTTAGCTTGCAATTGCTTTGCATAATAACTTTAACTTAGTTCAGTTGTTATATGTACAGTGTATTACAGGAGATAAAAAAGCAGAAGTGGATTGCTCCTGATACTTCCTAACAGCATATATTACATTTAGGGTTTAATAAACATCAGCATTTTCATCCACCACGCAGAACTATTGCAGTCCTGAACAGTCCACAGCAGAATTAACCTATCCATACAAAAATTTAGAGTTTGTAGACAGTGCCAGGCTTGGAATTCTTAAGTTTTTTTGCAAAAAAATTATTAATCTTTGTTAGAACATAGTGCTTTTTGGAACCTTGCCTTTAACTCTTTTTCCAGAGAGATAAATGGCATTATGGAATGGTTCCTTTTATAAGGCTTTGTTTCTTCTGGGCCCTCATCACAAGGGCAAAAATGCTTGACTGGTTTGGTAAATAAAAATGGATTTCAGGTATGAAAATAAGGGCAAATAAATAGACAAGATATGCTTTACTTTTTTTGTTAGGTGATATCAGATGATCTGATTTTAATAGACTGAACCATTTTGTGCTTTTGCCTTTCTCACAGGATTGTGGTGAGGAATGAGATTTCAAGATTTGAAATTCTTGTATGACTCCCTGGAAGAAGTAAGGTAAGGAAGATGGTTTTTGTTAGGCTGCCACTAGTTTAGAGTAAAATGCATGGGAACTGCTCATAGGAATTGATCAAAAGATTTAAAAATGTTTCAGTCAGAATATGTTCACTGTAACTGATAACACTTTATTTCTTACTCTCTCTTGTCAGGTATTGTTCGCAGAGATCTAAAACTGGAAAACATTTTAGTTAAAAGCAGTGACATCAATGAAGTAAATGCAGTGAAATTAAACATAAAGGTAAGATGACAATTGTAGCAGTTCAGCTTCAAGAACCGTCTTTAATATCCAGGTATTACTTGGAGACCTGACTTTGATACCTATAAGTAGGTTTTGAAATGAGTCACTAAATGGTGTTATTAGGGAAAAAAAATCATTTGGAAGCTACAAGCCACTGCTAAAAAGAGTATTTTATTTTTTTTAAAGTTGTAAGTACATTTCTTGGTCAATCAAAAAAAAAATTCCTTTAAGTAACCATACGTTGTTCATCCAGATCTACATTTGCATAGTCCCAAGCCATTAGTTACAGGAAGCCAGCAGATGCTGTGAGATTTAATTAATATTTAAATTAGGAATGTTCTCAATTTAAAGTAAATCTGTTAGTAATTCAGAAAAAAAGCCTATTTAGATGGTATCTTGATTGAAATACAAGTATATTACAGGATTCTTTTGATATTAATAAATATTTGCTACCTAAACACAATATTCCACATGCTTACATCTTCTTTTGTATTGAGGACAACAGTCTTTGATGCTTTATAAATCTTGTGTTAATTGTGCATCACTAATTTGCTATTTTAGTAGTAGTTACTGTTAAAATGTAGGCATCATCTTGTAGAACTGAATTGTTGGATCAGGAATTTACTGAATTTATCTGGGATAGAGGGCTCCAGGCTGAGAAGCATTTTAGGCACTGAAGTGGACAACTCAGTAATTTATAATGGATAATTCCAGACTGCAAAACTCTGTTCTCTTTTTCTTAGACCTGTGTATTTTTATGTAATCTCATGCTCATCTTAAGAAACATCGTTCTGGATTTCTATGTACCCTTCAGTTTGGGGCAGTGTACGTCTTTCTTCCTGAAAATGCCAGAGGTAGGAAAGACATTGATGAATTTTCTGTCTTTTCCACAGGTTTTCCATCCTTTCAGTCAACTCACCACTTCCATCAGTAGAAACCACCATGGCCAGCTGCTCTTTTTTCATGGCCTTGCTTTATGTACTCATTTGGAACAGCAACTAGCACCCTCTGTCATCTCTCCTGCGAGGTGTAAGCATTTTTCCTACGTTCCGTCCTGTGAATGAGGTCAGATCTTTCCTTTCTTTGCTTGTTCCTCTCATTTTAGAGGAGAATAACTCCTGAATGACTTTAATGGGAGGAGTGGAAAATGCAGAACCAAGCCCCAAGGCTGGTATGGCCAGCAGCAATTAAAGTGACTACGGGAAAGGAGAGGTCCGTCACACAATGTGAGATTAAAAAAACAGCTAAAAACAACATTTAAGTACTTCAGACACTTCAGGCAAAGGTTCACACTCTCCTGTTTTTGGCTGTAAGAAATTCTTCCTGGACCTTTATGATTTTCTGGTTTTGGGCAGGATATGCAGACAGTTATGGGACAAATCCAGATGTAGCTTGCTCCTGGTGAGAGGGGTTCTTCCATATGGCACACGAGTACATGGCACAGGTACATACTGGCTTGGGGCTGAGATGAAATTTTGTTAATATGAATAGAAAGAACATCTTTTAGAAGCCACCTGTCAGTATCAGGACATTCATTCCTGAGCTCACAGATATTGATATCTTCAGGTGTATGTATTGTCTCACAGACTTTGATATGAAAAGTGTAAAATATAAAAGTATGCTGAAGAATTTGATTTCTCCATGTATTACACTTGAATAAGGCTTTCCATACAGGATAAAACCCTATGTTTAAAAAAAAAAAATCAGCATTTTTTTCCACCCTTTGAAATGTTCTCTTCGTGGACAGTTGATGTGTAGTACCTTTTTGGCACGACTTCTTTTAACTCTATATCACTCTGGTGGTAGCCTCTCTCTGGTGACATAGAGCTAGTTTGTGACTTCTGATGTGCTAGAGAAAAATATAAGAATCTCCAGCTAAACAGTGGGAATAAATAATATTTTTTTTTTTTTTCAGCCAATTTCCATCCCAAATATGTGCTTACCCCAGTGTGTGGGACTGATTAATATTTGGTGCTGAAATGGAAGCTGAAAATCCCCCAACACCACAAAAGCAGGTAAATATGACATAACCTGCCCAAAGCACATGGTTTTCGGGACTTTTCCCTTGTCTATTTAGGCAATGAAAACTCTGTATTCCTTAATATAAAAATTTGTAGGCTTTTCTGATTTATTCTGCATGCTATAACATGCTACACTACATTATCCAACATAGCATTCATTTTTTAGTTCTGTGGAGCCTTTTCCTCAGCAATTTATGCCAGCAAATTTCACATCTTGCTCCTAAAGAACTGAAGCAAAAAAATAAATCCTTTTTGGGGGAAGATAATTAGGTCCTTCCAACATTCTGATTTATTAAATACTAGTAGCATTAAATACTCTTTAAGTGAGGGGGTTGTACAGGATAAAATTACTTTCCAATTTACCAATCATGACAGAAACACAGAGTCTCATCACTGCAAGGGGCCTTGAGTTGTCTGATTTATTTCTCTGTCCAAAGGAAGAAGCAGCTGTACTGCGGTCATTTCTGAGGAATATTTGTGCAAAGTGGACTTAAAGACCTCCAGTGATGGAGACTCCATAACCTTCCTGCACACTCTATTCTGATACTTCATTATCCTCCTAGAAATTTTTCCTGCTGTCTGCCCCGAACCTTCAGTTTGACAATCAGCTTAAACTTATACCTGCAGGCTGTGATCTAATCACTTTTTTTCATTATAAAGTTTCAGCTAACTCACCTGCAGCCACATAATTGCTCTAGCTGACCTAAGGGAGGTGGTGGAATCCTGTGTGTAGGAAGAGGGTGGAACTGCAGTTCACATTTTCAGACTATTATTTCCTCCCCTATCCAGATATGAAGAACAGGTAGGCACCTTCCTACTGTCAGCAATCTGTTATTTCACTTCTCTCCTGGTCTCTTGTTCTTTAAAGAGAACAGACAACTACCAAACATGCTTTGACACAGTGATAACACTTTGACAACAAACAAGGTACAACTGTTTTCTGAGAAGCATTTTTTATGGACCTGTGCATTTCTCCTGAATAATTCATTATTTAAGGTATTAAATTATTACATTAAACACAGTAATTTGAATTACAAAATAATTTAAGGGAAACAGTATCAAAATCCTTACTAAAATAGAGATAAGTGGCATTTTGTGTTCCTCTTGTAACCTCAAACCTTCTTGTAACCCTGTCTTGTAAGCCTGTGCTGCATGACCTTGTTCCTGACAGGTGTAAAATATCTGTTACTCACCTCTTTGTTTTCTTCTAGGTGCCTATTAATTCCAGTATTTCCCTGGGAGTTAAAATTAATGGGATACTTCTGTAATTCTTTGATGCCAGCTTTTCCACTCTCTTACAGATAGATACCATGATTACCTTTTTTCAGTTTTCAAGTATTTTATCTGCCTTCCACTAATGGTTCTTGAAGAGCTAATAGCTCTGAAAAGTCTTGTCACTTTTAAAGTACTCTAGAATGAATTTTATCGGTTATGGCTGATTTTAAAATTTCCAACTCAAGTACTTGCTAACCTTTCTCTTCTCTGTAAAAGACTGAGGTCTTGCCCCTTCGTCATTGATATTGATTGGACTATCCACTGCTTGCACTTGACATTTTGGTTAAAATTGATGCAAGAAGACATTAAATACATTTGCCTTCTAAGCATCATCAATCAATTGTGTTCTTGGTTGAATACAACACTGATGTCTTTATTCACTGTCTTCCCACCACTCATATTCTTATAGATTATTTCATTTGGAGTTACATCCCTTGCTAGCTGCTCCTCATTTTTTCTTTCTGATTTTGCCCCTCTATGCTTCTATCTTCCTTTTGGTCTTATTTCCATTTTCTCTATCCTCCCTTGTTCTGTGTGAGACTCATAGAAATTCAAAATTTAATCAGACTGGTTTAGTAATGAAGAAAATATATAAAAGTAATATCAGCTTCCTGAGTTGGTAATTTTATTTTGTGTAGGATATGTATTTAGGGATATAAATATATATAATTTTATAACTTTTCTCAGTATTTTAATAGCATGAATTACTGATAGCATAAAATATTATCAAAATGATTCATTAAAAATTAGTGCCCACAGCAGCTATGGCCAGTTTGACAATATTAATGGTTAGAATTTCCTCTAAAATCTTATTTACCAATTGTGGTATTTTCAAACTATTAAGTTAACCCTTTCAAGATCCTTGTCATAATAATTAGATATTTGAAGCTTGATGCCTACCTAAGACATAAAAAAATCTGAGATCACAGTTCAACAGGATGTTTTTATTTGGTGGGACAACACCAACTAAAATATTCACTGTCAATCTCCCCTTCCATTGTGTGAAGATTTTTCTATTTTGTTCCTTACTGGCACTAAGTATGTCACCTCCTTTGATTCTTGAATTACAGCCCACAGATCTTGCTGTGAACTCAGCCATATCTCCCATGATGCAGCAGATAAAAATCTCACTGAGATGGCCCCAAACCAGCATCTTTCTGACATGTGACTGAAATAATATGAAGTGAGTAGTGAAAAGGTTCTAATTTGTGAGTTTTAATCCAGGCCTGAAATTGTGGGTTTGAATTTTTTTTTATTTGAAAGCATTTTGGCTCAGATTTTGTTCATCATCTGATGTGTTCAAGAAAACAGAGGCTTTGTGTTTTGCAAAAACCCTGTGTTCTGATGTGCTACCCTTATGTCTGGTAGAAAACCAAGTTCATGCGATGTCTTGCTTTAAGTCAGAACTTTAAGTCAGTGTGTTATGAATGCTGCTTTAATAACTTACTGTGGAGAAGAAAAGTACTAAGTTTAATCACACAGCTGATGTCACAATTTCACCACCCCCTTAACAGCTAAATGATAAAAGTGAGGACACATCAACATGAATTGTTAAGGCCTGTACATTATTCATTTAAACATCTGCTGTTGGTTCCTCTTTACATATGGGAATAAATTATACCACATCAGCACATTCTTCATGCTTTGTGTTTAAGCATTTAAAAGTTTTTTTTTTTTCTATTATTAATACTATTTTTTCTGCTTGGTTGGAAGCCCATGAAGTTATCAGTGCCTGTGACTACAGCCAACAGTGTGACATTTGGAGCACAGGTGTCATTATGTACATGCTGTAAGTAGCTTGTAAAAGTAATATAAAATCTACAGACCCATTTATAATACAAGTACTTACAATTTTGCACTGAAATAAAAAATAAGCCTGTATGCTAAGTCTTCACAAAAGAGTGAGCTTTTATAATTGCTTGTATGTAAACAATAAAAATTTCTATTCAAAAAGAGATAAAAGATACAGTTCAGTGTTAAAAATTGAGTATTTGATTTATGGACCACTAAATAGTCTGGAAATAACAGAATGTTGCAGTGAAGCACCATAAAATCAAACTGTGAGTTTAGGCCTCCTTTTTCATTGTTGTCTGCATCTAAAAATGAGGACTGAGTGGTTGATTTACGGATTATTGGTCAAATTCTGACGTGGATCACACAAACTGTGCAATCAGGGTAAAAGCTTTTCTTCTCCACCTCTGGCTGTGGGAACTCTGTAACTGAGATATTCCAGGGCTGCCAGGTCTCCCTGTACAGGTAACTGTATGTCTTAGAAGTTTATTAGTTTGCTGGTATAAGAGGAATAAATGAAACTTTACATTTGTAAGACTACATGGCTATTTATATTGAAGTCTTTGATCATTTAAAACGTTTGTCTTAGCTACAAAGTAATTATTGCTCTCTGAAAAACCATAACCCACCTATACTAGCTAAAAAATATGATAAGGTACCCCAGTAATTGAAAATGAATTGTTGTAAAGGATGTAAATTCTTGTGCCTGTGATGAAACTAAAACGTCACATATTTTTCAGGCACATTTCTCTGTCATAATGCATTTGCATGTTTTTCCTCCCCAGTTTGTGTTTTTCTTCTCTGTTTAGTAATGAAGACTTCTGCATTGAAGTATTTTCTGTCACCAGAGAATACTTCAATGCCATTGTTTTAGAACACCAAACCATTATTTCATTGGTTATTATTTCTGTTCTGTGATTGTTTTGCTTTTGTTGCAAACAGCTGAGTTCTTTAATAACCTAAGACTTTGTACATGGACACATGGATACAGACACAGTTTCACAACCTCCTCTTTTTTGGATTTTCTTAGTTTGATTTTTCATTTTATTTTGGTCCCTCAGTTTCTTTTCTGTACAATTAGCTCCCACCTTTCTTCTTGTGTCAGGACAATGAAATGCTCATAGCTTTATTTCCTTTATTTTTATTCTTTTTTATAATTTCTATAATTCATGTGTACAATTTATGCTGATACAGACTGAGTTTTATTGTCATAATTCATGACATTAATATCTGCATCATAGTAGTGAGATTTGTATAACATAGTAGAATATATTACAAAATGTTTGGTAGAACTGGGATGGTTTGACTGGCTAATAAGAATCCAGAGCCGTGCCTGCAATCAGCACAATTCACAGCTCAGAACTTGTAAAATTCAGAGCAGTGAACTGTGTTGATTGCAGCTGGAGCTTAGAACTTCTGACCTTCTTCCATAATTAGCAATATAAATATTTCTTAAAATTAGCATTTTGTAATCACAACAGTGTCAGAACAAAGTAGCATTAATTCACCCCTTGTTGTGTTGACTACCCAAGAATGAAAACACCGTGTATGAATTAATAGAATGCAATTCACACTCCTTTTTATTGCTTAATTTGAAAACAGTAATACAAAAGCCATAAGATCATCTTCTGATTTTAATTCTGCTTTTACAAATTGCTTTTCTTCCCCCCCTGAATAATAGCTCGTGCTCCTGGTGCTCCTCTAATGGGCTTAAGGATGCTGTTAGAGGCATTATTGCTACCAGCGCCTCTTTGACCCTTCCTGGCTCCAGATAATTCTTCCCTGCTAAATTCCTGGCTGCCCTGGCTCCTTTGACCATGCAGGTGGCATATTACATATTGGTACCAGGGCTGTTATTGCCACCTCAGGCTCTGTCTGCACCTAGATGGGGGACACGAGCCCGGAGGTGACTCTAGAACTCTGTTACTGCTCAGAGCTTCCTCTGCACGACAGGGCAAGGCCACCCTGCTGGATTTTTATGTGCAATTTAAGGTGTGCTCTACACTTCCCATTTCATTTCTATCTTAACAGATACTAATAGAAGCCTCCACAATAGTAACCAGCAAAAAGAAAATCCATTAAAATACAAAAGTGTGCCAGCACATTGAAGGATTAGAGCAGCAAGAGTCCTGCTGCCTGTCATGCCCAGAGAGTGTGGCCCATGTGCTGCTGTCTAATAGGAAAGGGTCAGGGGATTCTTTTTCATGGGCAGTCTGCACTATTGGATTTCTTCCTCATTCTTCCAGGTGTGCTCTGGCCCCCACAGTAGTTCTCAAAAACCTTTGTGCAGCTGAAGAAGCCTGGGAAGCCTAATAAATTACTTCCTGCATTACAGCAATAAGAAACCTATTAAGAAAGTGTGGTAATTCTTGCTCCTTTCTAAAGGCACAGAAAATTTCTTCACAGATTTTCGAGGTGCCATGTGATATGTTTCACCTACTTAACTTGATTTCTTCAGCTGAAGTTATCTGTTGTCTGTCACTGCCTTAGTCTGGAGAGAATTTAGTCCTATCTGTGCATAGCAGAATAATGGGCATTGTCACCAGCCAATACTTGGGGTATCATGTCCTGAAATGAATTCATTCTGCCCCTTTTCTGTTCCTTAAATTGAGTTCCATGTGGATTTGAGTCCTGAGGGAGATTGGGAAGGAGAACTGGAGGATAAAAGAAAAGAGCAACTTTTGTCAAAGACATTTTGAGATTAAAAGTTTTGGGGAAAATGCACCAAAATATGGATTTATTTTACCTTAAAAATTAAAACCATGTGAATGAAACAACATGGTAATTTGTTTTGATAGAAAGTGACAGGCATCCCTCACTAGGATGTGACAACTACATTTTTCAGTAGTACTTCTATGTTTTGGGAATAGAAATAAAAAATTATTTGTTCCAAATAATTTATTTGATGAAGTTAGCTTCTTTTTTTTTGTTTGTTTGTTTGTTTGTTTTAAATGGTCACAAAAAGGAGTATTAGTTTCTCAAAAATATTTGCTACGTAATTCTTGCAAGTTAATTGTGCATAATTAGTATGATGTAAAATCTGTTAGGAATTTAATCTTTGTTAGTTTTGATTGAAAACACAGACCACATGACATGGTTTCCATTCTATGTGATTAGTAAAACACACAGATCAATACTTACTTTCAAAATATATTCTCTAATAGTAATTTAGAGTTGATGTTTCTGGTTAATACTCCTGCTGGTACATAGTCACAGAAACGAAATACCAAATGTCTGATATTGAAACTTCTTTTTTTATATGAATATATTTGTTTTTAGTTTAATATATATATATTTCCTTTTTTATTTAATTGTTTCCACATCATTAAGAATACAGTCAGTGTAAAGGAATCAGATGACACAGAAAGATCAAATTGAACATACAGAAATCATATTCATATTCAATCATATTCAAGTATTTTACTCAAAATAACAAAAAATAGATACAGGACAAGAATGCAGCTGAGGTATTTTTTTATGAACATAGGTACTCTTAGTATGGACACTTATGGGTAGGTCTTCACATTTTTCTGAAATTTCTTTTTTTATTATCCTATTTCTACTGATAAATAACTTTGGATGAGGCCAAACAAGGCAACAGTCACACTAAATAGGTAAAGAAGATACATCTAAATAGCAAAACAAAGAGTGAAGAATTGAAAATTATGCTTTTTTTGCTCCCAGTATTTTCTGCTTTATCTTTTTTTGTTCTGAAAAATATATCTTGTTACAGGAGCAGTAAAAGGATATTCTAGACTTTGGTAATTTTCTATGGATCAGAGTTGTTTTAATTTACTCTTACTCTATGAAGAATAGCACACTAGACTGAGAATTGAGCACATTTCATAGGTTTTTAGAATTTAGAGCTGAGTTCAGAACATCAGTAAAATTGACTTTAGGGATACAAGCACCTGCTATGTATTATTAATCTGGCATATATAAAAAATCTACAGAATAAAAGCCTACAGAATCAAAGTATCTAGTAATTGCTATAATGCATCCATGACTTTTGTTTGAACTAAACCCTGTTATTAGAAAGCCAGCTGATTGGGGCTCCAATGATGAAATTGAGAGTGGTCTGTTCTGTCTTGTGGCTCTTGTTTCAGTTCTTGTGACTGCTGTTAGCCCACTAAAAACATTGGCCCGTGAGTTACTGATGGTTCTTGTCACTGCAACGTGGTGGCTCTTAGGACAGAATTGTTGAATTGTTTGATAGAAGGTATTACTTGGACATGAAATCAAAAGCAATGATAAGTATACAGTGTTTGCAGTAAACATTATTTCTGAGATAGACTGCACACAGTGGCAGCAAGTTAGCCAAGGGATTTGGGTGGGTGAATTAGGGAGTAACAAAATAATCCATGTGTTCAGTTTAACATTTCCTAGCTGATACTTCAGTTGTTTCTTGGTAAACCTTTGGCTACTACTTCAAAAATCCATATAAAAGCAATTACCTTTTGCCTCTGTGGATACCTAGTGACAAAGATTAAATCACTTCTTAACCTCATAACCTTTTCCCTTTAAATCTCTCTGAGAGACACATTTTTAGAACTTGAATCACTTTTTTAGAGTTCTCTGAAGTTTTCCTTGTCCTACCAACTTTTTGATTTCAGAGTGGTCCCATAATACACAGTTTTTGCCTTACCTGGGAAAAATAGTAGGTATTCATTCACCGACCCTAATTTTCTTGTTCCTTTTATAGCAAACTTGGAAGAAAAGCTTTTGAACTAATAAGAAGGGAAGACCTCTGCTTTGAAAAATTTGGTCTGGGAAGCAGTTACCAAGGCTGGTAACTAACACAATGGTCTAACAGAAGAAATGTTGGCTCCATTGCAATGAATTCCACAATTATAGTAGTTGTGATATTTTTCTTAGCTTTTAAGTAGTTCATGTTTTCTGAAGAGCAAAAATGATGTTAAAAATAAATTGACATAAATGATATTGTGAACTAATTTCATGGCACTGTAAGAAGAAAGATCTCTGTTGTATTAAAGCGCTCAGTTGAAAATGTGTCTCGTTGTTAGTAGAAATGAGAGGTTTAAAGTTGTGGTTTTAGTTCCTAGAAGAACAAGTTTTGAAACTACTTCTGAAAGCTGATGCTGTCCACCAAATCACAGCTAATGACTTACTTGATAATTACAGGATAGCTTAATTTTGAAGAGGTGCAATTTCCTTCCCTCATCTTGTACCTCTTACTTTCATGGTACATAAAGTTGCTGTATTGCCTCAGTGGAGCCTATTAGGTTGGAAAATTTTTAAAAAATGCAGTCTAAGCAACATAAAACTTGTTAGGGGTCTGATCCAAAGCTCCCAAACCCATTAGCATGTTTTTCTTGTGACCCATGGGCCTCTGATAAACCTGTTAAGTAAGGGAATCTTTACACTGTATACCTTGCCCAAGCCAACTTTACCTGGTTTCCCATAGGTTTTGACATAATGTGGAAGTATGGGCTTGGGACAGGTTTGATTAATTCAATGATGAAACTTCTTTTTCTTTTTTTTTTATTATTAAGTAACTTTGAGCTACAGGCCCATTCCGGGGGAAGTGAAATGTAGTGCTGGAAGGGAACCTGAGAGCTTGCTGGCTGGGCTGCAGATCCTGTCACTGTGAGAATACTGAACTTTCAGCTGTCTCATGGAACACTGGTGCTCTTTTGTAGTTGAAATTAAAGGGGAGGGAATGGACATAGCTTCTACTGAAAGATAGCCCATGATAGCAAACCCTAATTTCTTCCCTAGATGGCTTCTGTACCATTTAGAAAGAGAAATGCCGATGAATCACTGCAAAGTATTCTGGCATGTGGGAGGATAAATAGCTCTCTCTATTCAAGATGGAGCATTGGTTTTGCCTCACACCTTCCCCTACAAAAGAGCCATTCTGGGCTAGCCTGCAGCTTTCTTCCTTCCTGCTAATTGAGTAGAGCTGAACAGGAAGCTTTTTTTCCCAAGGTTTCATTGCATTCTTGTGTGTGGGAGAATAGCCACAACCAAATGTGTAACTCTACAATGGCCTGGAAAATGAGGCACTTTTCATCCAGCTCTGCCCTGCCAACCTATAAGTACCACACTGTCTTTGCTTCATGAAAATGAAGATATGGAAAAGTGCCACCCAAGTGATTTCATGATTTCTCACCATGTATATTCATGGAGCTTGAGACTAATTTCCATGTGAACATCATTGCATGTAACAAGACCTTCCTACAGTTCATAGGAAACCATTCCTTATCTCCATACTATGTAACATTTCAGACACAGTAGATTTTAATTTGCAAAAATTTTCTTCTTTTATGAAGTAGGTAGTAGGCTTGATATCTTCTCTACAAAATGCCTACAAATGCAACCTTGTATTAGGGAGTTTTCCATTTGCACTTCCACAGTAAATGTGCAACAACTTTAAGCATTGGTTGCAAGGCAAAATTATATTTTAGATTTTTTTCATCAAGTTTGAATGGTTTCTAAATCTGGAGAGGTGGTTCTCATAGGCTGATGACAGAATTCCCTCACACTCTGAGGCCTACAGACACTCTTGGGTCAGAAACCATCAGAAATGAGCTCTAGAAATACACTGAAGCCATTTGTACCTCCAGCTGATCTACTTCTAACAGTTTTACCTGCTTCCTTAAAGGAAAATTTTCTGGATGAGACTGTGCTTAAGTCAGTGATTTTGGCTTCATGCTTCAGCCTTTCCTGTAGGTGATCAGCCAGTGTTGTCTATTACTCAACCCTTTTTGACTCACACTAGGCCCCATAAAGGACTGTCCTGGTTTAGCCCCAAGTGGCATCTAAGCACTACACACCCAACTCACTCCTGTAAAAATTTACTCCTCAGCTTCATTAGGCAGATGGTTCTCCTGTTCCATGCCTTCTACATTCCATCTGCATGTTCCACCTGAAGCCCCTAGCTGCTTTATTGGCATTTTCCTGTGATGCTTCTGGTTTTCACATATATTACATAGTGCAATGTTAAATGTTTTTTCCAATTCTAGTGCAAACTCTAGGTTTTCAGAGGAGCATAAGAAGAAGAAATGGGGACTTCAAGCGACACTTAAAGTGAAAAGCCTCACTATGCCAAATTCTTAAGGAAATGCTCCAGAAGTTATCCTAATAGCGACCTGGTTTTCAGAGCTCTGGAACACCTGTGGCTCCCTCCTTACTTCAGCAGGAGCTGCAGATACTCAGCACCACTGAAAATCAGGACACGAGTTTCTACTTCATGCTTGTGCCTTCACAGCCTCTGTGATTTTACAATAGCCAGATGGGGAACATGAAAGTGCATTATCATGTAGAGAATTCTGCGTGTAAAAAAATTAACCCCTTGGAGCCATGTGACACATGAGCTTCTGCATAGGAGAGAAATGCATTTGGCACCACAGTCTCCCACCAGGAAATCCCTACCATCTGTACCAAAAATTCATGAAGTCACAAGTCATTCTCTATGATTAAAACTGGCATTTCAAACATAGGTGCAGCAATTTTATATTCTAGAACAATACTTTAGCAATAAAAATTTTAATTTAAAAGTCACCATGTTCTTACAGCTAAACAAATGACCTCAAGCTCAATCCAAGTTAGTGGATACCTCTGGAGGTTTATGTGTTGTCAGTTTGAGACCATATAGAGTTTTGGCCGGGGGCTATGCAAAGGGTTGATGATTAATTATTTACCAGAAATACTAATTAATGCAGTCCTGTTACTAGTTTTGATTATTCTGCTCTCTGTACCAGTTAAAACTTTTCCAGACACATTCAACTTTTTACAGTTGCTGAAAAGTAAGAGGCAGATAGATGACAGCATAGCAGAATATTTTTATTAACAAAGACTGTGTTACCACTATATGGTACTTCTGCATTATCTGCACAGAACATTACATATACAATGAGTAAAATGTTCATGAAACATAAGTCTAATTTTGCAATAAATATCTTTATGGATACATATAATTTGGTTTGGTATTATAATTTCCAATTACTTTAAGCTACATTTAAAAATAATCTCTATTTCCTACCTATATATTGTATGGATTGTTATATTTTTTTAATTTATTATTATTATGTTAAATATATTATTATAAAAATATTCTACCTCATTTTCTTAATTTCTCACTCTGAAGATTTGATATTTTCTTAGCTCTGGTTTAATGGAACTTGGTGTTTCTTTTCAGACAGTGGGGTGGTATAGTTTTTTTTCTTCTCCTGTGTTGATTTTTATTTCTATCAGAAGAACTTTTGAGCACATTGTTTGTGAGCTCTGAATTAGAACTCTGTATTATTACTGTGATTTTTGGTGAAGTTTACAGGTATGTGAGTATGCTTGACTGAAGCAAGATCCTAAAATACAAAATTTATGTGTACAGCATGTGAGATTTCTTGTTTCTTTTCAGATTGACTTTTACAAGGAAGCCAAATGCCTAAAGCTCAAATCCTCTTGTGTCTGAATTGCAGCTCCATTTCAGCAAAATGCTTGCATATCTGTTCTGCAAATTATTTAAGCACATTTCCAAAAGTATGTAAGGACTTGAAAAATTTGACTCAATGAAGTACTGAGATCCCTAAGGATGCTTAGCAATTCTGGGAAGAAATCCGCTTAGAGCTCTCACTTCCCTGTCTTAAATTTTCTCAGCTATCTGGATTTGGATCTTTTTGTGCACCTGCACTCTATATCCTGGCAGTTCTGGGCAGTTTGGAGCAGAGTCAATTTATTGCTTTTAATTCAACAGTTACATTGGGTTTGTTTTTAGACTCTAAGACTTCTCAAGGCATCAAGAATTTTCTCCGTCTCACTCAACTTTCCAGTAGTAGCAGAGGTATTTCCAGGCATCTTATTCTTCCATTTACTGTGTATCATAACTAATTTGAAGGTTTTTCTGTTTACCTCTACAACATTTTAATTCTTTCAGTGGAATTATTAATGTATTCTCATTGTACAATTATAATAAATGAAGAATTTTCTAGTTCTGTTTCCTGCTCTTGGTATTAGCTAAACTTTTTCCCCCTGAATTGATAACTGAATTATTTTCCCCTAAGGTGTCTATTTAAAATATTCCAGACTAATGCATTGAACAATTCTTGCAAATGACCACTTTAACCAGTCCTTCTCCTAGGTGTTTTAAAATTGGTGTATATGTCAGTGAGATAAACAGAACACGGGTACTTATCAGGCTTCAACCTTTGTATATTATATGTGTTCATGGAGAAAATATTTCATTGCATTCTCCAAGAGTAGCTGGTTATCTCTGTGATGAATTAAACCCAACAGGTGTTCAAATGAGCCAACACAGATAATTAACTTAAATGGTCCCATTTTCTTAAAAACTGTCATGAAATAAACCCCCTCTTCTCTTTTATGGGGTATACAATTATCTGGCACTTTGTAAGGCTTAGCTCTTTTTAAAAGGGCTAATCTCAGCCTCTGATTTTGTGGGTGCAATTCACTGCACACTGCACATTTAACTACATAATTGTTCATGCAAAAGAGGTTGTTAAGATGTGTGTCATCAGTTATGCCCACAGTTGTCATAATTGCAGATGCAAATTGGCTTGTGCAGCAAATGAGGTTATTTTGCACAATCCAAACCCACCTTTCTACTGCCTGTGAGTGTTTGTGCCTTGGTCATTTGCTGCATAAGTGACTTAGCTCTCTGCTTCAAACAAAAGAAATGCTTTGTAAATACCAGTCCTCATGTAATAGAAAACAAATAGTTGGAAATGAGAATTGTCAGTTTAATGAGATGGATGAAAGAGCTTTAGAAACTGTCTCATTTGTGACCTCTTTGCTGGATCCACTGTGTGACCTCAGAAAAATAATTAGATTTCCTGTGTTGCAGTTTACTAGTCTGTACAGCCTAGATAAACTACCTAGTAACTATATATCATTAATTAATATTAGAAAAATACATCCCTGCTGTTACTGAAGTGCTCAGAGGGTGTCAGAAGATTAATAATATTAATGTCAAATATTATCTCTTAAAAATAAGTAACAAGACAACTCTAGTTTTCAGAGTTGTGTATA